GCAATGTTGCCATATAAAGAAAATATGACTCCCCTGTATCTTTTTAAATAATGAAGGAAGAATTTTTTAAACAATTTTCTGGAATTCCTGGGGGTCTGTAGATAATACACCTTCATTTTGTCGCACTAATTGTGGGACACCCTGTATATGTATATACATGGTGTTTCATTTTTATAAAAAATTAGGTCGCATAAAAATAAGAAAAAACTTCCAATTAACTAGTTTATTAAAACTCCACGTTTTCGAGATACAGTGTGTCGCAAATTTGTTTAAATTAAAAATATCACATTTTCCTAATATCTTATTCATGATAAAAATCTTTAATTTTTATTTTACAATATTTCTACGTTTGAATATGTGTTTATTTTTCACTAGCTTTAGAAGTTTTAGACAAATTTGTTTTAGTAAAAAAAAACAAAGTGTAATACGTAAAATAGTTTTATTTTCGATTGTTTTATCTAACCATTATTTTTATAAAAAGGCACACCGAGTTAAAAAATGAGTACGTTTTTTAGATATTAGCAAAAATTAGATAATTAAAAAAATTGCAACACTATATCTGAAAAACGAAGCGTTGCCGGAAAACAGTTGTTAAAAATTTTTGTTCTTATTTTTATGCAAAGAATCGTGAACTGAATTGTTTGCAATATTAATGAAGCATCCTGTATATAATAATAAATTTTAAAAATGTAATAAATCCGTAACCAGCGGCAATGATGCAAAATCCTGTTCAGCAATAAAATATTATAATAATATATAGTTTAAAACGGTTTTAGGACATTTTAAGATAGTTTTTGGTAATTTTAGGGTTCTAATACAGTACAAATTGTTGGTACATTTTCTTGACATTTTTGTAGCATTTTAAACAATTTTTAAAGTGAGATATTTTTGACAATTTTGGTCATTTTAGACAGTTCAAATTCAGTTTAGGTAATTTTAGGAAATTGTTATACAGTTCTGAAATAGAATTTATTAACAGTTTAAATTTGTATTATATTCAAATTTAATTAATTTTTTTCTTTGAGGTAGGACCCTAAGATTATGGGTAACATCTAGTTTAGTTGGAAAAGCAACATTTTTGGAACACGTTAAAAGTAAGTCTTTGTGTAAATAAAATGACTAATTAAAGAATTAATTTAAGAAATATATTTGATTTATGTGTACGTCCATCATACACTGTATGTGTACAAGAAAATGTAATTACACTGCAACACTTCTAAATTACTATAGGTACGAGAAATCCTTCAAATGTTTCTCAAATATCAATCAATAAAATTTTTCTTAGAAGTTCGTTCCATCGTTAACATGCTATAAGTAATAATACCTTTGGCTGATGATGAAAAAGTGTTTTTCATAAAAAACAAAATCTCGTGTAGATTTTAGATGCAATTTATAAACGTGGTCTAGTTAGTTTTTACAAAAATATAATAAAAGTTTGGTGGTGTATACAAGTATACTTGAGCAGGTGCATGTTTTAGTTTAAATTTGCGTACAAATAAATTTTCCATAGGAATTTTGTTTCTTTTATAACTTGATGCATTATCGGTGTGGTTTACCTTGCTTGAGAAAATTAATTCCAGAAATAATTGTTAACTAGGCGCAAAACTATTATCGCTACCTTTGTGCGAGGATTTATTTTACGCGTGCTGATGTGCAATGATTACACTTGACACTTGTTGGTGTATGTGTCAGTTTGTGAATTAAACTTTTTTTGTATTGTGATTTATTATTTAATTTTGCTGTAAGTAGAACAATTAAAATATGTTTTTTTCAATTTTTTTTTTTTCAAAATTTGGGATATTTTAGAGACTTTAAATTTTATATAATTTGTATCATTTTTATAAAACTTAAAATTCATTTAATAAATAAATAAATTGTTCAGGTAATATCGGACATATTTAAGTTTTTATTTTAACATCCTGTAAAAAAAGCAAACAAGTTTATAATACAGGGTGGTACAGTACATATCATCACATTTTTTTCCAGCCCATATTCTATCGAAAAATAAAATTCGTTTGTCAAATAAACTGTGGTTAAATTAGACTTCCTCTTTGAAAAGTAAATAATACCTTCTTAAAATGAAAAGATAATTTATTTAATTTTTTATGCATTTAAATCCCATTCAGGAAATAAATTATTTAAAATAATTTTGTTTATAGTATCATTTTTCATATATTAAAACTCTGCTTAAATTAAAGACTAAAATTAGACTTCTGGCTCTAATTAAATAACAAACAGTCATATATTCATATTTTTAAACAAAATGCAAAAAGTTAAGTTCTATTTTTAGAAATTTATAAACAATAATCAAGTCAATAACAGTTACTAATAATAATCAGAAATTAAATGATTTGTCTAAGGTAATAGTATATTAAAATTAAACCTTTACAAGGAAATGTTTTATACGCTAGGAAATTACTGGGTTGGGTTGCGTTAATAATAATGTTTAAATTATATTTATCTTCAAGCGTTCTATAATTTAAAGTTTTTTATTGTCAACACTCACTTGATTGATTATCGCCTGGAATGTAAAAATAATTTAGACCAATCGGGTGAAGATTTTTTACCTCCTAATTTGGATATAAAAAAATTCGACTACTGTCAGAAATGCTATTTCGCCTACAGGCCAAAGTTAGCTTAAAATTAAAATTAAAAAACAAAAGAGGAAACTCCTTTTTTTCCCTTTAGTTGCACAATATATATGTATATTTTTTAAATAATAATAAAATTAGGTTGGTTGTTCGTAATTTAAGGAAACCCATAAAGTTTTGTTGTAATATATGGTATGAAAATGTAAACAATTTTTATGTACACGAATCCAAAAATGCTTACTTAACTTATACGCGAATTTTATACTTGCGATATCCCAAAATTCGTGAAATCTAAATACTCTCTTAAACTAATTTACGGAATCAAGTAAAATTTTTAAACATTAATGATGACATACATAGAAACTTTTTTAGTGGATTTATCTCATATCTTCCCCATTATTACATACGGGCGCATATAATATTTAACAATTTTATTATTTATATTTATTTAGAATTTTAAAGATTGTAATACTTTCAATCTTTGAATTTCAAAGTTTGAAATGCTGTGAAAATTTTAAGATAAGCCCTTATGTGATAATGGGGACGATATGTTATGTAAGTAAAGTTTAACCAAGTATTTCAGTCAATATTTCAGTAATATGGTTATTAATATATTATAATACTTGGAGTAATCAAAAATATGTCGAATATTTTGATGTGTGATCTAGATAATATTGCTTTAAATAGTACGAGTCCGCAGCACACTCACACCTCATAATATTGGACTTTTTATTTTATTGAATCCAAAATTTCAAATTGTACATTTAATTTCAATTAAAAAATTTATATAAATAAACAGTGTGACCCATTTGTTTGCGACTCACCCCTGTAAAATCTTTATTTATTGTGCGATTTTAACATCGCTTACTTTTTCAGTTTTTGAGAGTAAATTTTAAAGAATTTATATTAGCGATTAAAAAAAATCTATGCACGTCACTGGATTCACCACCCCTCAAAAAAAAAACGACCCTATACTAAATTTTATTGACAAATTTTAAATGGGAACAATTTTGTAGCCAAATTAATAATGAACCATAATAACTATATACAAAAATTTAAAATTGAAAATATTTAAATAAAATTAATCTAATAGTAACATTATATAAATGCATTTTTAATTTAGCTACAAAATCATTCCTACTTAATAATTTTCAATAAAATGTAGCATAGAGTCGTTTTGAGGTCGGGTAAATCCAGTCCGTACATAATTTTTTTTCGTTAATATGAATTTTTAAAAATTTACTCTCAAAAACTGATATAATAAGCCTTGTATTTGTAAAAATATGGTGGTTTTTGCCCCAAAAATACAGTTTATCAAGATCTACACTATAGTGTAGCTTATTATATCAGTTTTTGAGAGTAAATTTTTAAAAATTCATATTAACGAAAAAAATTTATGTACGGTGTATACACCGAATTTTCTAATTTTTTTTATGCAAAAGGCATCATTTTTTATCTTTGAACTGTAGTCCATTTTTGTTGTTATATTTTAAAGAAATATTTAAATAGCTTATCTTTTAAAGATATCTACCTACACTGCGCGTCAAACTTAATTAATTAACGCACAATAATAACTCCAAAACGCCTTTACCAATCTTTATGAAATTTTGTGTAAAAATATTTCAACTTATATCTCAGTTTACGTTTTCGAGGGTTTTTCGAGAAAATATTTTTAAAGCCCTTTTATTTAATAATAAAAAACGTTCAAAAAATAACTTTTAGGGAATATTTTTTAAGTAAATAAAAAATATGCTGTTAAAGAACGTATTTTTGTAAGTATACCCTGATTTTGTACAAATCAAACAAACAGTAACGAAAATACAACGTCACAAAGTCGTCAAAACTGACCACTTTTCAGCAAAATAATCAAAAAGGGGTCATTTTTACTGACTTTGAAGCGCTGTATCTTCGTTACTTTTTGTTTGATTTGTACAAAATTTTTAGTGTATACTAACAAAAATACGCTCTTTCACAGAATATTATTTAATTACTTAAAAAAAATTTCCCTATAAAAGGTTTTTTCGAGCGTTTTTTATTATTAAATAAAAGGGCTTTAAGGATATTTTTTCGAAAAACCCTTGAACAAGTAAACTGAGATATAAGTTAAAGTACTTTTATCCAAAATTTTATAAAGATTGGTAAAGACGTTTTAGAGTTGTTTTTTTTTAATTCTTATGCGTTAATTTTGAAGCGCAGTGTATTTAATTTTGAATTATTAAAAAAAAATTGTTACGATTATTATAATTGGATAATGGTTTATGAAACACAAAAAATCTAATAACTGTAATCAAGCCAATAAAATAAATAAATAATATCTTAAATCATAAAAAAATTTAAAATTGGATTTTGTAATTGAAATTTTGAATTAAAGTGATAAATTTCATTTTAACTACATAAACTAAAACAGTTAGCTTTAAACGTTGTTTATGAAAGTATCAAACAGGTAATTTTAAATTTAAAACCAAACCGTTAGTTATTATGTTATAGTTAAAGGTTATTATTAGTTATTAATTTGTAAATATGTAATTTCAAGTTTAAGCATAAAAAAACATTAATTAATAATTAAAGACTAGGTAAATCAAACTGTAATGATGTTGTAGTTTTGACAACTCCAAACAAAAGTTGCTCACCACCTTGACCTCCAGGAATCCTAAAAAATTGTTAAAAATCTACCTTTATTATTTAAAAAGTTACGAGACATTGAGTTTTTGAACTGAAAAATAATATATTTAATTTGCTTATATTGCTATATATTGTTTCAAATCTGATTAGGATTATGTGAGCTGTACAGAAACAATGGTTTCATTATATCATAGCCTTTCTGTCAAATATTGTTATGTATTTATTTAGTGAGTAAAACTTACTTATTGTGATATGTATGTTATGTTTGGAGAATCCTTAAAAATGCAAGTCATTTACCCTGTGTGTGTCAATGTAATGTTAATATTTGTTTAGTTTTTTTTCATTGATAATTTGTTTCTTACATGAAAACGTCGTATTGAATGGCATTTAAGTCACTTTGATAACGGATAAAAAGGAAGGTAACTTTTGCAAGTGGATAATTATTTATTTACCTCGTGTCATTTCATTTCCTTGACAACCTTGCAAATAATTATTTCTTAATAGCAGGTGTCAAAAAATCTTTTAAAATGAATCGTTTTGTTGTCGTTTCCGGCGAAAAACAATAAAGAACAAATTGTAAAAAGTATCCCAAATAATTCTTTGATAATAAAGCGTCAATTTGGCGACAATATATGGCATTTTGTAATGCGAGGAATTACAAACTACTCGACTCAATATCACAGCAAGATTTAGCAAATATTTTGCTTGATTGGGCATGCAATATGAAAAAAATTAATCACAAAATTATCTCGTCGAATTACACTCGAGCTTTTTTTCTGGCAGGATAAATTTATGTTTTCTAACTTTCAAACTTGTTATATTTTAGCAATTTGACTCGAAAAAATGTCATCTGACAAAATCGCTCGACCTACGGTCTCGCAATTTTGATTGATGACATTTTTTCTTGTCAAATTGCTAGGTAACAAGCTTTTAAGAAAAACAAAAATTTATCCGGCTAAAAATAAGCTCTTGTGTAATTATAGTCGATTAAATTTTATTTTATTATTTCCTGTATTTGCTTCTGCCAAGTCTGATGTAAAATAAATAACCTCTAAGTAAAAGTAACGAATTTGACACTTTTTAATATTGTGGTTTGTTGCTATGATGAATAAGAATTAAACTACCAGTTTTTTTAGCATGCAATGTTTACATTTAAAAAATATGTACTTTTTTTAAATTACAAAAATAGTTTTATTTAAACAATATTTTGGAACTCCTTGGGGTCTTTATATCTACCTTCAATGTGGTGCGCGACTTCTGGCACACGCTGTATAAATAATTTCAAGAAAATAGTTTATCCTATAAAGTAAATGTTTCTATTTAAACGTCCGCAACAAAGAGGTCAATTTGTTCCAAAAAAGGAAATAATGATCTTTGTTACACATTATAGTTAACAATAATATATCCAAATTAATGACGTGTTTTGCAATTTGTTTAATGAAATTGGGCTAAAATTAAAAAAAAAGATAAGTGCATTTTGGTAATTTGTTACGCCGTTCTAACAATTTAAAAGGTTTGCTTCACTGATTTTATGGCCACTATTTTTATACAGGTTGTCTCAGAATTCCATCCAAAAATGTTGATAAATATGAAAAAAAGTTGACAAAAATGCTTTATAAAAGAGCTACGCCCCTTTATACTATACTATAATAATAAATGCTAGCACTCGAGCTACAGTTAACAAATGAGTCAAACCACGTCAATGAAGGTGTCAATGAATTTTTATTGAGTTTTTGAAAATTAACGATAAATATAATTGTGAAAATCTGTAGATAAAACTAAACAAAAAAACATTTTAAATCATTTTTCGAAATTCCGCACCATTTTTTGTAATTTTAGTACCTACAAATTTTACAACATTTAAAAATTTATACTTACGACTCGTTAATAATTAGATAAAGCATTTTTGGAAAATGTTTTCTCTTTACGATAAATATAAAAAAAAAACGGTAAGAAACCCCACTAACTCATAAAAAATACCTTTAATTCTATTACGCTCCATAACCAAATTCGGTATCTTTCTACTTTAATAAAAAACCTTACGTTCTACAAGAAAAGAATAACATTATTACAATATTCCAAATTCCTATACATCTATATATAAAATACACTGTATTGGGGGTTTGGGGGTTCGATTGGTTACTTTTGCTACCTTTGTGGCGTCAATGTATACATCTACTAGTAATTAAGTAAGTTAATGAGCTTCTGAATAAATTTACATATAAAAATCTGTTATTGTATACATTAGCTAGTCATAGTAAAAGGGTACATTTATTAGGTAATGCAATGCATTCAATGCATATGTTACGGTCAAATCTGATAAACATTACCTAACACGGTCAGTGAAACAAAACAATATACAAACAAAATACAAAGTGCTTTAAGTACTTTTTGCCAACAAAGTTGCATCTTCTGAAGCGAAGAGTACCTAACTCAGACGATACGACATATGAAAGTACTACCTACTCTTCCCTTTTATATTTAAAGCTTTCGAGATCTACAATTTTACAAAAATTGTAAAAACTTATTTAGTTATTTAAAATTAAAATTTCAAGGATTTTTAATAAAATTTTATTAGATCAAATTTACACATATCTCAGTTTACGTGTTCGAGGGTTTTTCGAGAAAATATTTTTAAAGCTTTTATTTAATAATTAAAAAAACGTTCAAAAAATAACTTTAATGAATTTTTTTATTAATAAAAAAGATCGTATTTTCTTTAGTATACCCTGAAAATTTTGTACCAATCAAACGAACAGTAACGAAGATACATCGCTTCAAAGTCGGTAAAGATGACCCCTTTTTTATTATTTTGCTGAAAAGTGGTCATTTTTGAGATATAAGTATTTTTATACAAAATTTCCTAAAGATTGGTAAAGGCGTTTTAAAGTTGGATTTTTTTTCTTGTTATGCATTAATTTTGACGCGCAGTGTAAATCAAACAGGCGTTTAATTAAATTATTAATAATTCACATCTTTAAAGTAGAGTTTTTAAATTAATTTTAAAAATGCATATGTATATTTATACATACATATTTGTGTACACAAGAAACAATAGGAAAAATTATCATTTTCGTGTTTACAAAGACCTTTTGAATTTTATGCGCTTGTGCAAAATTTTATTGATTTGTGCGAAATATGATTTGTTTACATTAATACTGTTCATTTTTTTAGTATACCCTATGAAATACACTGCATTTAAAATATAGAGGATTTCCATAAACGAGGTTTTTTATTTAATTAAACTTATTTATTCAATTTAAACTTGACCCCGAATCGCAAGTATAACTCGTATAACGGAAACAATTATATGTTTAAAAAAATAAATTTCTTTAGACTGGAAATTATCCCAGATTTTTAAAATTCAACGCTTTTTTTCAAACAGACGTTTTGTTAGCAACTGCAACATTAATAGTTATTTATGTATTAAGGGCATAATAAGGTTTTTATGGTCCGAGGCGCTATTTCGAGCCCGAGCGCGTTAGCGCGAGGGCTAGAAAAGCGTCGTAGGACCATAAAAACCAGTTATGCCAGCAATGCATACAAAACTTTATGCACGATTAATATATTATTATTTTTAATATATTATTGTTTTTAAAGACGTTTACGTCAAAGAATTTTTGTTATAATTGTCATATTATAATGTCAACTGACATCAGTCAGTTTTAAAGTTTAAAGATGAATGAAATTGAGGAAGCAGCTGAAAAGGCGAAAAATTGCGGCCTGCTGCCGGAAAAATCAAAATCTTTATACGAAAAAACTTACTTCGAATATATCAAATGGTGTAACATTGTTGTTTTTAATTTTTGACGTTTCATTATAGCCCGCTGGGTCATAATAACGCCCGCGGGCTATAAAAAGACGTTTACGTCAAAGAATTTTTGTTATAATTGTCATATTATAATGTCATCGTGCATAAAAGTTAATTATAACATGTAAATAATTTTTTTTTAGTGACAAGCATTAATTCATACAGGGTAATTGGTCCTTAAAGGGTATGCCACGATGTAGTTTTTGAGTATGAAGTATTTAAATATTGAATTTTATTTTTTTAATCATTTTTTCCTAAACTTTCTGTTATATGTAAAAAGTTGTAAAAATTGCTATATTTAAACAACGCAAAGTAATGTTATTTTTGTATAGGAACTTATTTATAGACAAACTAGATTATTTAAGTATATTAAGAAATATGAAATATAAGAATGTTGAGGAAATTTCCAATAATTATCACAAATCACCGATGTCATTGATTGAGGGAAAGGGAAGCTCGACATTTTTTGGAAATTCTTAATTTGGTGCAATGACCAACATATTATTCTTTTATTACCTTAATCACAGTGCAGTTTGGTCAATATTTTAACTACGTTTGTAGTTTTTTTTAAGTTCAGTTTATTTTAACACGTGATTAAATTAAATACAGTTTTATAATAATTATAGTCATCAAATTGATGTCATTGGTGGTGTGCGGATTTTAAAGCATTTATGGACACACAATTATTTTACAAATTATAAGGTAGATTTTTATAATATATTTTTTAAATGTCTAAGGCTTTCTTAATTTAGTTTTTAATTATTTTGTTACAGATTTAACCAAAGATGACTGGGACAATTGGCCTTATGAAAGCTCATATAAGCTATGTACTAAATGATTTGGCGGGTAAGCTAATATGTACTTTTTATTTAATATTAAACAATTTCAAATATTTATGGTTAAAAAATAGGTAGGTACCTACTTTTTTTTCAAGAAAACCTTTTTTTATTTGCCACAATAATTTGATATAACGCTAAAAATAAGTAATTTTGTAAAAAACTGTGTTAATATCAGTTGTAAAAAGCCCTTTTTAACTTCAAATATGTAGAATTGTAATAACTAGAGACGGGAGTTTTAGGCACTTAAATATTAAAAAAGAGGGGGAGAAATAGGCAGGTAAAAAAATGATTTTATTTTAAATCGGTTAATAAACAAAAATAAAGTACTAAAAAGGCCTTATTCTTACTATTTCAAGCAAGGATATAGGAAATTTAGGCAAAAATTTAGTCATTTACTAATTTGAAAGTCAAAAATAACATTGGGTTAAATTGCACTTAAAATGTCCAAACCACATTTTGCAATAAGAATTTTTAATTAATAATAATAATAATAATAATAATAATAATACTATAATAATCTTTATTTCATAGAAGGCTATACACAACAAAAAATAACACCTTAGAGAAATTGCAGTCAGAACTATGCAGGAATTAAATTATAATGCATTTTCATAAAATTCATTTACCGAATAAGGCTCTAAGTTGATCAGAAAATTTAAAACTAAATTACAAAAACTTTGACCATAGGCATTTTGCCTAGAATCCGGTCTCTAGCAATTACATATACAGTGATTAATTAATATTGCAAAAAAACTAGGAAGAGCTTCATGCAAATAAGAAAAAACTTTCTATAATATATTAACTAGTTTCCGGCAATTTAAAAAAATAAAAAATACACAAAATATTTTATCAAAGCTTTATTATTGTCAACGCTCACTACCAAAATTTTTTATTATCTCCTAGGCTGTAAAAATATTGTTTTCAAAACTGTCATTAAAAGTTATACGTTATATTTATTAAGTGTCAAAACAGTGTCTACATAACCTAAAAGTCACATTCGTTGCTATGTACGCAATAGTTATTTGTTTTACAAGTGTTGAAAAGCGATTTTTTCATGCAAGTTTTTAAGTTGCCCTCGAGGCCGTTAGGCCGAGTGTGCATTAACACGAGCTTGAAGAAAGCTTTTCTCACAAGTATAACACAATGTTTTTTCTGCGACCCTTTTATTTTTTATTATTTTTAAATACAAAACAAAATAACCTAAAAAATTTTTTGACAGCTGAATGTCAAACGATGCTTTCCGGTTCTTTTCACACAGACCTGTCACTTTTCACACAGAAATGTCACTTTACATTCGTGTTTTCCTTGCCAATGAAAAGATTCATTTTCTAAGCAACGATGCCATCATGAAAAGTGACTTCACATTTTTAGTAATTTATAAACCGTTTTTGAAAAAATGTTGCCTGATACTTGATTGAGAAAATCTTTTGCCTGATTTTATTACTCCCCAATCTTGAATGTAAAAGTGGCATGTCGCAATCTATCATCAAAAATAACTATAGACCAATCAGGTAAAGTTTTTTATATCCTAGTCTGTAAAAAAAACAATAAAAAAATTCGATAACTACTGACTGCTCTGAGCTATCTAACCTTACTTAATTATTACATGAATGTATTTAATTTCAATGTATTTTCATTATTGTACGGCGGTGTATAATATGACAAGTCTTTCTATATAGGCCTTTGAGTGTTATAATATAAAAATTGTTATACGCGCGTACGCTTCAAAACATTTTTTTAAATATTTTTTATTTTTTTTACTTAGATCCAAGAACAAAGGACTGGTTTTTGGTGGACAGTATTCTGCCAGTTCTTACGATGGCTGTAATCTATTTACTTTTTGTATTAAAACTTGGTCCAAAGTTAATGGAGAACCGGAAACCGTTCGAAATTAAAAACGTTCTTATTTTTTATAACCTTTTTCAGGTTCTATTAAGCGCTTATATGTTTTATGAGGTAAGTGCAAATAGTTTTTTTTTTTTATAAAAAGCCTTGTATGTTGAGTTTTAAATAAGGAATATAAAGACAGATAAAGTTATGTAATATATTTTTTATTAAAAAGTAATACAATGGCATTTTGGACCTTAAATAATAAAATCATCTGTTAAACCATTACTTTTTACTGTCTAGATAATTATAAGTATGAATTTTAAATTTTTCAACATAAGTTTATAATTCGTCATATAATTTGCAGTAAATATAATTAAAATTTTAAATACACATGTTAATATTTAAAAGAATATATAAAAATAAAAATTTTAAATCAAAGGGCAGAAAATATAATTAAAAACAAGTCGGGTAATTTTTGTTTTTAATCACCCATAAATAATATTTTTTGTAATCATGATACTTTAATATCTATTTAATTATGATGTAAATTAATTTTAAAATAATTTATGAAAACGTTTTTTTTATATTTACATAATTTATAACTGTCAATTCCATAATTTAACATACTTAAATACCTTAAAACAAGTTTGCATTGCCAAAGGAGGAAAATTTGTTTATTTTGTCAACAGTTTGTTAACACCATGCTTTATATTTATACAGGGTGGCCCAACGTAAACGAAACAAAAAAGTTTTTGGTTAGTAAGCAGTAATTTTTTAAAAAACGACACGTCAAGTTCAGTTTTGAGGGGGACATCTTTTGATACAGATTTTCCTTGCAAATAGCTTCATCCGCAGGAAAATAGTTTAATTCTATTCATTCGTTTTCGAGATATTTAAAATTCAAGTTGCAACAGCACACTTTGTTTCTTATTTTGTCAATTTTGTCACAAAAACAAGGGGAATAGTCGGATTAAGTGCTCAAAATTTCTGCCACCAAAGGCAGTATATTTCCTAAGGGGCCGTCCATAAATCTCATGACGCTTAAAATGGTTAAAACTAACCCCCCCTCCCTCGTGACGATGTGACGATGTAAAGACTCCCTTACCCTAATATTTTTTCCAAATCTTTTTTGTAATAATCTGACTAAAATTTAAGTAAATAAGCAATTTCATTCAATTTACTTTGTTACCTGACCTACTGTGGGCGTGACAAATCGTGACGGTCCTTTAAATCCCCTTCCCCTTTAGCGTTGCGAGATGTATGGCAAAATATCACACATCTGGGTGTTGTGGAAATAAAAAAATATTTTCTGAAAGCTTTTTTCAGAAAAATTAAAACATTAAATCATTAAAATAAAACTTTGCTATCATTATAAATTTTAAATCATTAGCTTCAAAAGAAAAATGTTTTTAACTTTCTTATATCTTTCTTTACTTTACCCCAGTAGCACAAAGATATTGGCCCAATATTCGTTTGATGATATTGGGCCAAAATATTTTCGTCAGATTTTTTCTATCATGGTCCAATATTGAAACCCAACATTGGCCCGAAGTTTGTTTTTGGATTATGAAGATCCTGAAGAAATCCTCTGCATTCAAACTTACTCGATAAACTTAGCCATTATTTGATACTTAGTAGATCAGCCCCACTCCAATCATTGTTTAGCTGTGTCATCACAGACGCACATCTCCAACTGATATTTGTAACCTATCGATTATAGTTATCAAGCGTGCGTAAGCAGCCGTGAGATGTATAGTAGGGTGGAGCGAAACGCGTAGTGATTTTTAATTTTTTTATTTAAAATATGTAATAGCGTAATAAAGTTGCCTTTTATAAAGCCGATTAATATAGTGTTTTTGTTTTTTTAATTTAGTTACATCTTCAGGGCTCTACCGATAATTGTTATCTACGAAAATTATGTTATATTTCTTATCTATATCTATATTATATAGCCTGAAAAAACTAAAACTAGGTGTTTGTTAAATAATATTTTAACTAAAGAAAAACATTTATTCGAAATAAAAACAAAAATATCATATAAAACAAAATTGAAAAAAAACATATTTTTGACGATTGCTATTAAATAATAAGAAACATTTTATTTTCCGACATTATATTCGGCCTTTGTGTCAAACTTTGGTAAAATGCCTCTAGAATTTTTTTCACATCAATATTTAACCTACATTAGAAAAGATAATGTTATTACCTTTGGTAGAGCCCTGAAGCCATTAATTAAAATGGTTCAAATTGTAGGTAACAACAACTGAATATCAATGACAACTTTTGATAACTATTACTAACAAAAATTATAACTTTAATTTTTTCGCTCCACCCTAATGTATAGCAACCATATTTGTTTATAACTTTGTTAATAAGTTTTGCTTTTAGAATTTTGTGTAGCAGTTATATTTAATATTGTACATTTTACCCATTAATTAAGTAAATAAAATTAATATTTTTAATTAATTCATATCTTTATCCCATTCTGGGGCATTAAGGCTAGTCCAATGATAAATGACATCCCCGGGAAATCTCAAAAGGTCCTCTGGACGTCCTTATAGGATCATCCCAGTCTGGGACATAAGGCTGGTCCAAGGACTTCCTGAGGATGTTTGTGCTTGCTGGGATTGGCAATAATATATTAAATAAACAGTTTTCGCCAATATAGGATCAACTTTGGATAAAAATTGGTAATAAAAAATTGAATAACCAATTTACGCCAATTTAAAGCCAACCTTGGACAAACATTGGCAAGGATAGATTGGAAAATATAGGGCTAATATTAGGTTAACCTTGGGCAACCATTTTCAATCATATAGGGCAATATAGGGCTAACCTTGGACAACCATTGACAATTACATATTGAATAATCATTGAACGCCAATATGGGGCCAACCTTGTATAAACATTTTTAAGTATATATTGGCGTAAAATGATATGCCAATATAGGACCAACCTTGTATAATCATTGGAATGATATAAACTGCTCGTCATAAAAATCGACGCACCTAGTTTTTTGAAAAATATTTAAAAGATCGTTCTTGGAAAATTACTGAATCGATTTTAAAAATCTTTGGAAATTCTGAATAGCTGATTCTTTGACTCTTATGTCTAATTTTGGGAATTCGATATTTTGCACATAGCAGTATACTAAAGAGTGTTAAACAAAGAGATGTATATTTTCCGAAATTCATGAGGCAGTTGAGTTTGACAGTCGTAATAAAAGTAAGGTAATCCCTCGGATCGTTTTCGAGATTTTGTGAATATCGCGGCTTATTACGATTATATGCCAATTTTTCGAAAATTGTCGTTATTTCCCAGTTTAGTCCAAAAAATGAGCAAAAGTGGATTCTTTGACTTACGTCTAATTTTGATAATAAGATATTGTGCATATTATACTACAGGGTGTTAAAAAAGGGATGTTTTTTTTTCAAAAATTTAAAATCCCCATTCCACAAAATCTCGAAATTGTCCCGAGGGATTACCTAACTGTTATTAGGGAGGAGTATTAGGACTATCAAGCTCAACTGCCCTGTGAATGGGGATTTAGTTTTTTGGAAAAAAAATCTCTTTTTTAACACACTGTAGTATCATGCTATGTGCACAATATCGTTTTTTTGGACTAAAATGAAGAATAACGTGAATTTTCGAAAAATTGCCATATAATCGTAGTTAGCCAAGATATCCACAAAATCTCGAAAACGTCCGGAGGCATTACCTTAGGGACGGATATTACGACTATCAAACTCAACTGCCTCATGAATGGGAATAACTTAAAATTTCGGAAAAATACATCTCTTCGTTTAACACCCTGTAGTATAATGCTATGTGCAAAATATCGTATTTCCAAAATTAGACATAAGAGTCAAAGAATCAGCTATTCAGAATTTTCAGATATTCAAAATTGATTCAGTAATTTTCCAATAACGAGCTTTCAAATATTTTCCAAAAAACTAGGTGCGTCCGTTTTTATGACGAGCAGTTTATTTAATTATTATTTTATGCCAATATAAAGCCAAGATCGGCAAATAAATTCAATATTGGGCATAGACTCGCCCCATATAGGACCAATATTTTGTGCTACTGGGGTAACGTTTCAAGGATTGGGATTTTTAAAAACTTTGAAAATTCAAATAAAAATTTTAATAAAAACTCTCATAATTTCAGTCTTTAGATGCAGCTTGGCTGCGAAACTACAGTTGGACATGTGAGCCCATCGATAGATCAATGGATCCAAGTGCGATGAGAGTAAGTACCAACCTAACGAAATAAAATTCACAAAAATCTAATTTTTTTTCTCTTTCTAAGATCGCCAGGGGAGTTTACGTATTTTATTTGGCAAAAGTCTCGGAACTGCTCGACACCATCTTTTTCGTTTTAAGAAAAAAACAAAGTCAAGTTACGTTTTTGCATTTATACCACCACACCTTTATGTTGTTCATCGGCTGGATCGGCACCAAATACGTTCCAGGCGGGCATCTCATCTTTTTGGGAATGGTAAATTCCTTCGTGCACATCGTTATGTATACTTATTATATGTTGGCTGCCATGGGGCCCGAGTACCAGAAATACTTGTGGTGGAAAAAACATATTACGCTTATTCAAATGGTAAGTTCGTATTTTTTATCAGTACTATGCTCCACACCTCAAAGTCCCACCACGTGACCACGTACGAAACGCAGTCTTTTGAAAATTTGGCATTTAAGGCTTTTCAGGTTATGTATCTGTCAAACTATAGTCAATGAAAGAAATAATATTTATAGTGTTACCGCTTATGTGTAAGCGTTAATAAATCTTTATAGTATCACAATAACACTGGTTGGTTTAAGAATTTAGGAATATAAATACTGCATTTAATGAAATTCCAAAGTGTAACATTTCTCCATAAAATAGTTTTAACTAAACAGGATTTATTAAAAAAATCTAACTTATCTATTATGAAATAAGAATATCTGTATCAAAGGTAGGTTAATGTATTAGAACAAAAAATATCATCTAATTTTGTATTTTAAGGTTAGAAAAATCTATTTTGACCAAAATTAACAAGTGGATTATTTGGAAGAGTGTGTTAATATGGTCATAAATAAATATAGGTATACTAAATAATTGTTGAATATGGTTCAAATTAAATTGAAGCTTTTATACTTCTAACGACAAAACTTGTGCATACCTCTCGGCATACCTACTTTAAATTAGATTATAAGAAAACAAACAATTTTTAGAGAAACTTGCAATGTGAAAATATTTAGTACTCCCATGACATGTGATTTATTAAAATATTAAAGTTATAATGATTTTTCGATGTAGATCAAATTCAGTCGAAGCTTTTTGTATTGACAAAACTTTATGTAGGTAGACTTTAAGCTGGATAAGAAAAACTACCACATTTTTAAATACCATATTATACTGTCTTTTAAATACCCCAAAATACTTATTTATTTTGGTTAAAATAAATTTTTCTAACCTTAAAATTACAAAATTAAACGATATTTTTGTTATAATATATTAACCTACCTTTAATACAGATATTCTTATTCCATAACAGTGAAGTTAGATTTTTTTAATAAATGCTGTTTAGTTAAAATTATTTTATGAAGAAAACCAGATATTTGGACCAAATGCACAAAAATATTACTTATTTGGGACCATACATTTAGAATTTCATTAAACGCAGTATTTATATTCTTAAATTCTTAAACCATCCATTGTTATTGTAATGTTATAAAGATTTATACATTTTTAACGCCTAAACATAATATTATTTCTTTCGTTGACTATACTTTGACAGATACATAACCTGAAAAGCCTTAAATGCCAAATTTTGCGACTGCGTTCCGTACGTGGTCACGTGGTGGGACTTTGAGGTGTGAAGCATAGTACCTATCAAACAAAACTTAAACATTTTAAATGGTGGATGAACTAAATGATGACTAAAGACTGTCCATTCTGACGATTAATACGTAACCTCTTAGTTAAAGTAACAAATTTGGTCAATTAATTTTAAAACTTTCTATAATATTGTTGTTTGCCTAATAATAAAGTGGTAGTTTCATTCTTTATCATCATGACAACAATGTTGCCATTAAAAGAAAATATGTATCTCCTATATCTACCTTCATAAAAGCTAGAATTTTTCAAACAATTTTCTGGGATTGTTGGTCTGTAGATCATACACCTTCAAGGGGTGTGCGACCTTATATATTTTGCACTATAACTTTTGAATTAACAAAAATTAAAATTTCTGGGAAAAAAATTAAAGGAGATACACCATTTGTAATTCCCCAACCAGTTTTTAAATATCTTTATTTATTTATGCAACAATTATTGTATTTGCTAATATAACATTAATATTAAAAGTGTGCTTCTAGTACACAGAGGTCCTCAAGGGTGAATAGGTCTTTCAAGAATGTACTTAAAAACTGTTTATGGGGTATTTTTCGGGAACGTTTGGTCTCCTCAAAATCGCTTTCATTGAAATCCCACCTGATCGGAAAACAAAAAATATTTTAGGTGGTCATTTTTAAGAGACGAGGGACTGTTTGGTTTTCCAATTTAGGAAAAATGCCTGTTTCTGATATTCAAAACATATATTTATTAAAAATCATAACCAGTTTCTATAAAAAATTGAATTAAATCATTTTAAAGTGTATCCCGTAACAACCTGTTAACATAACACAACATATAAACTATAAATAAGTTGATGAAAACTCTACTACTGCTTTTAGTAACAAACTACAGTATCTCTTATCGCTAATGTCATTAATTTTATACTTTTCCCAAGGCTGTTCTGACCATATACCCAGAGCTTCATTATTTAAGAATTTAATTCCATCTACAAGATGGTTTAAAGCAATATGAATGTTTAAAGTTGTTAAGAGATTAGTTGCTTTAAAATATTTTTTAAAGTTTTAGACATCCTGAACAAGATCGTTTTATTTTAACTCTGATGAGAAATAATCATTAACAACTTTGTTCATGACCTTAAAACATTAAATAAATGGCAAAACTTCCAAGTAGGAAACGCTACCAAGATTATCGCTATCTACAAGCAAATCTGAATTTTGTAGGAGTTTTCTACATGCGTTTCCTTCGAATATTTCACTATCAAGGATAACTTTTTTGACCATTTTAGAGCTTGCTCCCTTCCTAAAAGAGGAACCAGACCATTCCAAAAACAATGGTTTACGAAACCTTGTAATATATGCAGTTCGGGAATCAAACACACAAAACAATTCTGTTTCGTACTTCCTCAAATAACGCCAGCAAAGCTTAGCTGATTTTTTTACATTTTGAAGGAGACAAAATTTGTTGAAATGATCTTTAATATGCAGATTTAAAATAAAATGATCTTGATCAGAGTATCGAAAACTTTAGAAAATGTTTTAAAGCAACTAATCTCTCAACAACTTTAAAAATTCATATTGCTTTAAACCATCTTGTAGATGAAATTAAATTCTCAAATATTGAAGCTTTGGGTATATGGTCAGAACAGCCATGTGAGTCGTTACACAGGGAGTTCCTTAAAACTTGGGAAAGGTATAAAATAAATGACATTAGCGATGTAGATGTAGTAGAGTTTTAATCAACTCATTTATAGTTTATATGTTGTGTTATGTTAACAGGTTGTTACGGGATACACTTTAAAATGATTTATTTAATTTTTTATAGAAACTGTTTTGAATATCAGAAACAGGCATTTTTTCTAAATTGGAAAACCAAACAGTCCCTCATCTCTTAAAAATGACCACACAAAATAAAAAAATAAAAAAAATCTAAATATTTTAAGTTCCCGAAAAATACCATATAAACAGTTTTTGAGTACATTCTTGAAAGACCTATTCACCCTTGAGGACCCCTGTGAGTATTGTACCTACATAACTTTTTTAAAACAAATTTGGAAGGTAATCCTTGTATTGAAAAAAATAATAATATACATTCATCGTATTAGTACATTGAACCTTCATTGTAGTTTATGCAATACCACAAATGCATATACTATTATGTATTAATGATAATGATAATAATTTTTTCAAAAAATTTTCATAGAATCTATTCAGTTTAAGGTGGTTCGGGCACGAAAATATTGAACTAACTCTAGGTTGTAGAAAAGTCTACTTAAAAGACATTTACAAAGTTTCCAAATGAAAATTATTAAAGTTGTTAAGACTTACATGGACTGTTATAGTTTATTATTGCCTGTGTTGTAAATGTTTACAAAAATTTATAAGTCACTTCCACAAGTATAATATGTATAATTTTTTTTTAACATAAAACCATTATTTAAAATCAAAATCTGTACATATTATATAAATTATATAATATAGTACATTATCTAACAGGCGGGAAAAGAGCTTATTTATAGCCGAGCGCATATCTGAGCGAGGCAGTTAATATGCTTTCTCCGCCGTGTTGGATATACTATCTTTTTGTGGATTTAATAATGGACTTAAATTAAAATTATCGAGTTTGCCACATTTTGGTTTGACGTTTGACTTATTATTTTATATTATAGGTTACAAAAATAATGTATTTCTATGTGTACATGTAGCCTACATGAGTGCTAGAATATGAAAGCTGTGTATTTATAGAGCAGATTATTTCCCTCAATATAATATGAAGCCTTGAATTTTCGAATAAATTTCGTTTAAATAAGCGATTAAATCACTAGAACTTTTTAACAGCGATTAAATTTTAGCCTCCATATTGGATTTTTGTTTACGATTTTATGGTGTTATTTACAAGTTTTAACAAACATTTTTTAAAAAACAATATAAAATAAGCTATCTAGTTTACGAAATATCAATTATTACTTATTACATACCTTAAATTAATGAAATTTTCTTTAAAAAAATATTTATAAACTTTGACACATATATATACATATATATATATATATATATATACGTCAGATTTTATGAATGGTCAAATATTTTCCTTTAATTCGAGAAATAATCTAGACGTATATCACTTAACCTATATATTTAATCTGTCAAACTATGCTCAGTAAGTTTTTTATTTGATTTTTCTTTTTGGAAAATAGTTTCATGCACCGCTACGCGGTCTCGTGATTTTATTATTTTGCATTCAATATTTTTCAACAAAAACCAAACAAAAAACTACTGAGCCTAGTTTACCCGATTAAATTCATAGTTCTCGTGATATAATATATGATTATATATTTTTTCCCTACAAAACTTCTTACCCTTTAAAATTATTTTATAATAATGTAACATTGAAAGCATTTCCTTAATAAATTATGATATTTTTTAAATGATTTTAATTCTGGTATTGCAGCAATACTGTAACGTACCTTTACAGTTTATAAACACATTTTATTTTAATTTTTGCATAATTTTACATAATAGTTATTGACATTGCCAAGATGAAAAATAATAGAACAATTTCTTAGGCTTACCTGTTAATTATCGTGCATATATTTTTTCATAATTAATTTAATTTAAATATTGCCTTTAAAAACCATAATTTTATTCATATATTATATCACGAGAACTATGAATTTAATCGGTTAAACTAGGCTCAGTAGTTTTTGGTTTGGTTGTTGTTGGAAAATGTTGAATGCAAAATAATTTAATAAAATCACGAGACCGCGTAGCGGTCGAGGGGTTTTATTTTTAATTATTTTGCATGAAACTATTTTCCAAAAAGAAAAATCAAATAAAAAACTTACTGAGCATAGTTTGACAGATTAAATTTATAGGTTGAGTGATATACGTCTAGATTATTTCTCGAATTAAAGGAAACTATTTGACAATTCATAAAATCTGACGTATGTGTCAAAATTTATAAATATTTTTTTATAGAAAATTCCATTAATTTAAGGTATGCACCGAGAGAAATAGTCTGGGTATAGTTAAAAAATGATTTGTTTTAATATATTTGGTAAAATATAATAAATAATTCTTCTATATACCAAATCAGCACTTCTTAGTAACTTTATTCAGAATTACTTAAGTTTATTTTGAAAAAATGATTTGGTTCACTGTATTTGGTTATAAAAAACAAATATAGTTTAATAATAACAAACCATTTTCAAATAGAGTTTGTATGAATAAATCGAGTTGTTGCTTGCTTATAAAAAACAAATGCAGGATAAAACACGTTGATTATTCGCCGTAGATGCTTTAGTTCGGCCATTGTGTTAGTTTGTGCAAAGGAAGTGGACGCGTCCAGACGTGCTGTATAGTTTATACCTAAATTAGGTAAATATGGATACATTTTTGATTGAAAATAATTTAACAGAGTTATGTTTTTTAAGTTTAAGAATTTAAAATTAAGATGTTTAGTTTACTTAAGTTTAATGTGTTTAGTTTACTTTACCAAAAAAAAAAGTTTTTGTTTGCAAACATGTTTTTTAAGGAAAATGTTTTTTATTTTTTATTAAAATAAAATGTATTGTTATCAATGGCCGAGTGTTATTTAATATAGAAAACCCTAATTTTTATAAAAACGCTAAATTATAAAAATACATGTTTTGTTTTAATAATTCAGGGTGTTTCAGACTTGTGGTGCCAAAAGCTCGAAGGAGATTCCTCTCATCAAAATATGAAAAAAAAGTTCCTATGAACAAGTGTCCGAAAATGCTTCGTTACCGAGATACAGGGTGTTTTATTTTAAAAAAAAGTTTAAATTTGATACTTTTTTGTTACAAAAATAATCATAATAATGTATAAAAAAGTGTTTTTAAGCTATAAATAAAAAACTCAATTAAAAAAAAACAAACACCCTGTATCTCGGAAACGAATCATTTTCGGACACATGTTCATAAAAACTTTTTTTCATACTTGAGAGGAATCTCCCCTGAGCTTTTGGCACCACAAGTCTAAAATACCCTGTATATTACTTATTTTTTAAAACAAAACGATTTGTTAACAAAAAAAGATCATTTGTTTTTTATAAATAAATATATTTTTGTTAAATAAAAATTTGATTCTTATAAATAAATAACTTATTTATTACGACTAATTGGTTTGGTTTTAATAACCAAAAACAAATTATTAAGTAAATATGACCAAATGTCTTGAAGCTAATCATTTGTTTTTAATAACGTAGCCGTTTGTAAGTCAAATACTGAATAAAGCATTTGGTTATAAAAATGCAGATTTGGTAATAAAAACCATTTTTTTCTCTCAGTGTGTAATAAGTAATAATTGATATTTCGTAAACTAGATAACTTATTTTTTATTGTTTTTTAAAAAATGTTTGTTAAAACTTGTAAATAACACCATAAAATCGTAAACAAAAATCCAATATGGAGGCTAAAATTTAATCGCTGTTAAATAGTTCTAGTGATTTAATCGCTTATTTAAACGAAATTTATTTGAAAATTCAAGGCTTTTGATTGGTTCATTTTATAATGAGGGAAATAATCATTTCTAAATTTTAGAGTTTTTTTCAAAATTTCATATAAAATTCATTTCTTCATCTGTTAATGTACGAAATAAGCATATTAAAGAAAAACCCTAGAGCATAATTTTGTAACAAAAACCTAATTCAACATATTTATTTCAGATTCAATTTTTGATGATTTTCGTCCACAGTTCGCAGCTTGTTTGGAGCGATTGCGGATATCCAAGGGGATACGCCATCATTGCCCTTCCCAACGCAGTATTATTCTATAACATGTTTTCTAACTTTTACAAGAAAACCTACATACCAAAAGACCAAATCCAAAATAACAACATCACTAAAAAAGAAATATAGGCGCATTAAAAACTACCGTTAAGTACCTTCATTATTGTTTAAGTGTAAATAATAAGTTAAATTAAATTATTTTTTTTATTTAAACCATGTTTTATTTTTAGTATTGTACCATTGATTAAGGTTTCCTTCACTCAACGACTGTACTATATTAAACTAGGTTAATTACCATCGAGAAAATAATTACGATAAGTATTATACTTACCGCAGTTTTGCTATTTGTTTTAATTACAATATTATTGATAATAATATGTTGAAGTACTTTTATTATTTTTTTTAATGTATAATAATAACTTATGTATTATGTATGTTAATTTTTTATTTTTTCGATGTAAATATTGATTTATAAATTTTTACGTAAATAATACAAAAAACAACTAGTAAATAGAATAACCCTTACATAGCAAATAATTATTTATTTGTTTGTCTTAACAATATTTACAAATAAAGGAAATTTGTAATCCTATGTGCAATTACAGTTTAAATATCTATACTTAGTTATGGCCTTTTATGAATTTATTCAAGGTGCCTATAGTTATGCATATCAGGAATAATACTAATACTAATTACCGAAAATAGCTCAGTAACACTTTTTAATTTTAAAGTCAAATATAAATAAAATACAAATTTATTTATATTTTAATTTAAAATAATCCTCCTTTATTACCAAGTATCACCATGTGCAATTTTCGTCATTTTGTATAAAATTTTAATGAATACAAATATTAGACCTTTTGGAAAATTTCTGTCTGACTGGAACAAAATTACCAAAGATTCCTTTAAGGTGGACTAGTTATTAAAATATTAAAAAAAAAAACAGAACTTTTAATGAAAAGTGGCCGACCTCGTTTGGCCCACTTAAAAATTTTACTGTATTAAGATCAATAAAAAAAACAAAACATATGAACATATAAATGAAATGTACACAATATTCCACAATTTAAAGCATAAATAATAAAATTTGTTATGCTATTTTTGTACCTATAATATAACATTTTCTTATTAATATTAAATTAATATTAAAATTTTGCTCCTAATTTTGTAGGTATACAGGGTGCTTCTATACTGTTTACTTCTAGGTCAAGTAAATTAGAAAAAAGTTGCGCAATAACAAGCACATTAAAATAACATTTATAAATTATAAAAAAAGCCAGTGGTTATCACAATATTTGAAAAAACAAAAAATCTTAAAAACAAATCGTTATAGCTTCGTTTGTTCTGGAAATTTTGAAAAAAGTAAGTTTTACACGTTAGGATACATGTATATTAAACTACATTTTTATACAATTTCTTCGCTACTATATTTTAACTTACCATCACCATCTTTTGGTCTTATGTGTGCCATACTTATGTAGTTTGATACATCGTTGGATTCCATAATTTTTTTTCTGTTTTAAATTCCAATATGGCGGTCATAGGAAAACAAAAGATACTAGTGGTAATTCAAAATCTAGTAGGCGTTAAAAATCACAAATTGGTTGTAATGTAGATAAATGTGTATGTTTACATGGGAAACTTACTTTTTTTAAATTCTCAAGAATAACGAAGTTATAAAGATTTTTGGTTTTGAAAGGTTTCAGTTTTTTGTTTAATTATTTGAGAACCGCTGATATTTTCCCAATTTTTAAATGACATTTTAATAGACTTGTAATTACGCAAATTTTGTCTAATATATCCGACCTTTTAATAAAAAAGAAACCCATATATAGAAGGATAGATACTTGCACCCTGCATAACCGTTTTAAAATAAGATTTAAAGGTTGATTAATATAAAAATATGCAAATCATTTTACGTGTACGTTGAACCTTCTTGTAGTACAAATCATTGCAAATTGGCAAATAATTAAAAAAATAAACATAGGTACATTTATTATTAAGAAATAAATCATTATGCTAAACATAAAATAAACAGCAAATAATCCTACATAATGCAATTGTACAAATGTAAATAATATTACGTATTAAACTAATGATTTTTCAACAAATATTTCAAGAATCTTTTCATTTTAAAACAATTTTATAAACCAAAACTATATATTAAGATGATCCACAATTTTACCAAATTTAAACCCTCTAGGTCGCCCAGGTATTTCATAAACCAATAATGTCACTTGTTTAAATTATGCATGTTTTTTTTTTAAATTTAATATGGTCTGGGTAACCAAAAGTTGTCTTTTTGGAGTAATATTTATAATACAGAGTTTTAGCTTTCTAGCCTAGGTAAAAAATATGAAAATTACTGATTTTGTTTAATATTAATATGTTTACTTATTAAAGATCAATATTAAATTCAAATAAAACGTGTTAAAATATAAAGATAGAAGTTAAAACTGGATCACAAATATTTAAAATAGTAAATATACAGCGTTAATAAATGTATACAAAGAACAACATTTAATTAAAATTACTTTATAAAACTCCGCTATATTATAATTTTTTGTTGTATTAAACATTTGTTCATAAAGCCTTAATGTATGGAAAGGGATTCTTTCACCCTCATAATTTCTCGTATTGTGTATTGTGTAGTTGTTTTAATATTTTATTATTAAAAAATAAATGGAGCCTTTGTAAATTAAAATAGAAAACACCGTAAAATGTTTTTAGTTTTAAAAAGAGTTTCAAAAGGTTTTAGAATAAATATAAGTCTAAAAATTGTTTTTGTGAGACAAAAATACGTTTTATTGCTGTTACATTTTCCAGTATGTGATAAGATAAATATATCTATATATATATATATATATATATATATATATATATATAATATATAAGATAAATATACCTGCAAGTATTAGGATAAACAACAACAACAAGATATTTTTTGTTCCAAAATTCATTTAGTTTTATTAATTCTGTTAGGGAAAATACTACTAATTGTGTGTTAATCTGTGGTCTATGTTTATGTTCATTTGTGTTCATACTTTGCGTTGTGTATAATAAGTATTACTTATCAGAATGTCGACAAAATCTAACTGACTTCTCGGACTTCCAATTTGAAGTTTTTTTACAGCCCGATTAGATTGTCTCCGATTGGTTTAATTTTACTATTTAAAAACCTATCCAGTAATTCATGTGTGAAAAAACTATAAAAACGAAAATATAACTGTTCGTGAGAATATATTCAGAAGTGATTCTGAAGATTTGTTCTGACTAAAATAAAGAACGTTTACGATAAAGTTTTTCTTTAAAAGCAAAGAAAATATTTTTTAAGTATCGCTGATTTTAAAACTACAGCAAGGGAGAATAGAAAGCGACAGCGGAAAAAAAATAACAAAAAGTTCAAAAATAAATATTTAGAAAGGTAGAGTAAAGATACGCTTCGGAATATTTTACAACCATCTACATCTTCTTCTGAAAACTCTGAAATAGAGGTATGAGCTTGGTTTATGCGAATAAAACTTAACTTGGAGTTGGATTTTGTGCAATAAAGCTCTTGGAAGCTCTAGAAAAAAATGATGGCAAAATTGCCTGATTGTCCACGTCGCACAGAGTGGCGGTCCATAGACAATAATTATCCTTAAATCCAATATCAAATTCAATTTTAAAAATTATTTTTGCAGTAAAATAGTTGTACTTCATAAAAAACAGAGCAAAAGGTGACCAGAAATGCAGGCGGATTACAAAAAATTAGCTAGGTACCTATATCAAAACAATTTAATCGTTTTAGCAGCAAGTATTGCAACTGTTTTACATTTTGGTGTATTATCAATTATTTTTTTGATAGTGTTGGTGTTAAGTATGCTTATATTGAAGCAAAGTCTAACAAAAATAGTTTATCATTGTTAATCTAAAAGTAGAATTTACATTGAAGTTTGCGAAAAAAAGATAACCGAAACATCGAACATGGAACTGACGACACGGTACTTATGAATGGGATACAAATTTGAGATTATTATTCGGAATTAAGTATTTTACTGATATTTTTTATTAGTGGATGCTACTTATCAACAAATCACATATAGCCTTATATAAATAACAATGAAATATATATACGTAAGAAAATAACTACTCATCACATTACTGACATTTTGACTGAAAGTATACGTGCATTCACCACAACTTCGCCGCTTGAATCGTTTTCAAGATGACTGTCGTGCAAAGGGCGGGCTCTGTAGGTACTTTTTTTCCAACACTTGAGTTAAAACGGGGACTTGACGTTAAAACTTCAATATTTCGCAGGAATTTAAAATTTTAACATTGGACACAGAACTGACGGGTAAAAGTACAGATTATCAATTTTTTAAAAATTATTTGAATCTATGATAAAATATGAAAAATACATTATTTAATGTTTTATAGTTTGTAGTGAAATTAAAAAATTTAAGATAAATTAAATATATTTTAAAATAAAATCACTCAAATTTTTAATTGAGGAGTTGTGACACGCCAAGGTACTGATGTTTTGAATATTTATTATGTTTTTCTACAAACGTGCTTTTGAAAAATACATTAAAATTGGGTGGACAAGTTAGAAAAACCTGGATCTTTTGTAATATACTAAAATATTTACAAAAAATATTAAAATACCCACTCTATTGACTGATGACATCAAGTTGTCCAACTTTTGTAGAATCACTCATATATTAAATTGCAAAACTCATTAAAACTAATAAAAATCTTTACCTTTCATTAATAAATTGAGCCATCAACTTTTTATTCGTATTTTCTAAAATTAAAGCAGATGGGGTAATTTTAATCAGCAAAGATCCATTGTGTACAGTGATATTTCGTATAAATGTTAATTAAAGCGGCTTATGTAACGTGCAAATTTAATAAAAATAAAAATAAAATATTTATAACTGTCACTGGCGTTTCTTCATTGCGAGTGTTTTCACCGAAAAGAGTAGGGTAGGTACTATGAACATTGATAATACTTAGTTCACTTAGGCTCTCTTTAAATCCACCTGTGTAGTGTATTGTTTATTTTCTTCGTCTATGCCTAAGTCTACTTGGATGCGTGTGCTGTGACGTAAATTGAAATGTTTGTGTCGGAATCGGATTAACATTTTACTATATACACGTGAGTTTGTTTACTACTTTTTAATGAAAAATTATTGATTTAATTTAAAGTATGCGTTCTTTAAAACAGGAGTTTTTGATGATTAATTAATGTGTCTTTTATTAAATTAAATTAAATTTTATAATTTTTTAAACAAAAAACCGGAACTAAATATCTAAAAATATATTTTAGAGAAGAAATTATTTCAGCCCAGTATAAAGCATTTTAGGAACCATTTTTCTCTTTAAAATTAAGCAAATTTTTGAATAAAATTTGAAGACATCCTGCATAGGCAATAAATCAAAATAGAAAAATTGAAATTTTGGATTTTCTGATTAAAATTAAATAATTTTAAAATGACAGCACATGTAAATTGTACATACTTTATAATAAATTATTATTATCATCTGAGAACAAAAAAAAACTTGGCAAAAACACAAAAAACTGTATATTTGAAAAAATGTTTTATTTATATTTAAATTGGTCATAAAATTTTTGTCTTTATTAAAACCATAAAAATACCACTTGTATTACTATTTTAGCTATAAAAACATTTAATTTAGTCAAGATAAGTAGAAAGTATGTGCAATACACATTTTCAACAAAACTCTATTATAAGTTATAATTTTTAACCTTAATTTACCTTATTGTTCATTTTGGTTTATTGTTTCATTATTATGTATTGAGTTTGATAAACTATTTAAATTGGACACGAGCGTTACATATACACTTTTTTTAAGACAAATATTATTTTTTATTTAATTTATTTTATTTTATTAATTTATTACTATTTAATTTAAATATTTGTATAAAGCGACATCTATACAAAAATAGGCAAATTGGTGTAAAAAATGACCTGCTTTAAAAATAGCAGTGTTAGTAAAAGTAAAGGGGATATTTTATAGGTACTCCACCTAAAATTTTTATTGGCAAAAACTAGTTTACTGACTGAAAAATCGTTTATATAAACTTTTTAAAAATTGGCTTCAAAAACTATTTAATAATTTTGTATTTTTGTATTTATATAATAAAATAATTTTCAAATTTAGTATTATTTTACAAGAAGCCCAGTAAGCACCAAACATTTGGCAAACAACACAAGCATTCGGCATACCCCCGTGGCCGTTTGGCCAGAATCCAGCATGCCATGGAAAACGGCATAAGCGATACATCTCACCTCTTCTTACGCACTGTAGACACGAGCGAGCTTGCAAGAGAATGTCAAATATTTATGTGTAAATCGAGATGTATCAATTGAAAATGAACTAAGAACAGTTTTTCACAGTGAAAGTAAAGAAAATGTTTTATGGGCACTCTACGGTGCAGTATGCCGACGAATCAAACTTGCATATAAAAATTTCAAATAGATATTGGCGTTGAGAAGCTATTTAATACTTTTATTTTTTTTTATTAAAGTAATAAAATAATTTTCACATTATTATTTCACAGGGCACCTTATTTTAACGATTGTATGATATTTGACAACTGTTAAGTAACTCCAGCCCGTGACTAAAGCGCCATAAAGACACAACTTGTAAATGTGTAATTAAAAGATCACTTAGTGTTATAGAAACATGTACGATTATAGGCGTAAGGTGGAAGTAGAAAAAATATTGATACTAAAACCATTTTAGTGTAAATAATAATTAAAAATAATTACATGGATTTACAATACCTAGGCTATATTAATTATTTATGTGTTTTTTGTTAATTTAACTATCTATTAATATCTAATAAAATAATAGTTAAACGTTTCCACCTCGTTAAAAGCGCAAATTTATTATAAAATATGATTTGTTGTTTAGGCAATGCCTTCTTAAACTACAAGTATAGATATAGATATAGTAATAATAATTTATTATTGTTATTATACTATCCTTAAGCGGCCCAAACACAAGGCAATTTTAAGGAGTTTTTGTAGATTGTCTTATGTGAAGTCATAATATTGTTTTTTATATTAATCCCATAAAATTACTAAATTAACAAGCGATTTTTAAGAAATCTGCGCGCGATATAAAAAAAACTGCATATTTCAACTTCTTCTGACAAAATACGTATTGCTGTTTTTGAAACTTTTCTATAAACATAAAATAGAACTTGTTAAATTAAAATATCAAATATTAGTTAATGTTTTTAAAATAAATTTAAAAAATATTAAACTAACGATAGGTAAATTAATTACATGTTTTGACATAAAAGGAGAAAGTAATCAAATTATTCTCTAAATATCTCGATTTTTAAAATTTCACAAAAATTAAATTATCATTATAATAAAAAAGTAAGTGGTACCTAGCATTTATGGTCAAGTACTTCCTATTAATTAAATAAGGATCACATTTCTCATAAGAACGCATATATTAATTTGAAATTAATAGTATATTATCAAGTTTGGTAAACGACATTTTAGTCACGAATTTAAATTAGGCACGAGCAAGTGTTTAATTAAATTAGTGTCCAGAAAAGTCTATAAACGAGTTGCATACTATTCTTTTTCTTCGATAATCTCAATAAATTAAATATTTGTATAGAGCAAAATCTATACAAAAATAGAATTACCGTAAGAATGGCAATATGTATTAAAGGCGGCAAATGACAAATTTTTTATGTCGAAATTTATTCCTTGGAATAATGGACTAAAAACGGTTTTAATCCGATATAGAAGCAGTTTTTTACAGTAAAAGTTTGAAATTTGTAATGCTTTATCCGTTAAATCAAAAAGTCAATTCATTGATACTTTTGAATTTTTGTATTAAGATAATGCAATAATTTTTACATTTAGTATTATTTCACAGAAAGAACACTTTATTTTAAGGGTTGTTTGACATTTGACAACTGTCAACTAACTTAAAGCTAACTTCAGCCCGTTACTAAAGCGCCATAAAGCCATAGCTTGTCAATGTGTATTTAAAAGATCATTTAGTGTCATGGAAACATTTACTATAATGGGCGTTTTAAAGGTGGAAGTAGAAAAAATTATTTTTGTTAACAAATAGTTCCACCTATAAAGTACTTTAATCATATAAACATTTTTTATTGTCAGATGAACAAAATAAATCATTTAATTAGGTTTATAATGTTTATTTAATGATGTCTAAAATAAAATCTTGTAGCTGGGTGTGTATATAAACGAGCAATGCCCTATAAATTTGGACCTTATTTAGATATAATAAATTTAGAGATTTTGTTGTGGAATAGCTCAACATTCTTAAACTATTTGTTATCGCAGATGTTAAAAGACCACATATTTTAAGTGACCCCATACGAAAAAGTCCAATGGTGTTAGATCTAGGGATCTGGGAGCACACTATATTGGTCATCTTCTACTGAACATTGGATATTTCTGATCCAGTCAAGTCCTTGCAGCTACTACCTAATGGGGTGGTGCGCCATCTTGCAGAAAATGTAATAAACTTTCATCCAAAGCTAGTTCATCCTCTCCTCTTTGATTTTCTAGTTCATGTATTATTAGTGGCTGTATTTTTTCATCAAACATTTTAAAATATATTCGATCATTCAAACTATGGTCAAAATATAAGTGGCCAGACATTTAGTTTTTCAGGATACTGGGGTATGATTTTCTCTTATATGAGGATGTTCATTGCTTCAATTTTGTTTGTTAACATTTTTATTTTAATTAAAAGTACACTCATCTCTGAAGCAAATGTTTTTAGTATTTGGATCTTAATTGTTATCTTATTGGTCTTAATTTTACAAAATGCCTGTCTGCACCATCATCGCAAAGTTGTTGTGTGATATTCATTTTGAATGGGTGGAATTTGTTTCAACACCTTCTTGTTTCACCTTGTGGCATCTACAGCAAACTGACCAAGAACTTCAATATGGGTGGCTTCATTGCAAACTAATCCCGTTTGTTCATGCTTTGAATGCTTTATTTTGGAAAATTCAGTCAGCACTACTTTTATAAAAATATTATTTTGTTAATGCCCAACACTACAAAGTATAAAATAAAGGTACATATATATTTTATATTTTGTTTTTCTTTATGTAATTTTCTTTGTACTCAGGGGTCTAATATTTACGAAAAAAAAATAGGCTACGTATTAAAGTATTTTCTTGAAAAAAAGATATGAACCTAGTAATATGATATGTTTACTCATCTATTTTTACTTATTAGACCCCTCAACTGTCCGCCATCTACCTAAAAACAAAGTTGTTACCACTTATTTCCTATAAATATAAATACATTGTTACATATATTGTTTTAAAAAGCCGTGAGCGTTTCAGATTAATCTGATATTTCAGTGAAAGTAGTCTGGATAATTTGGGTCCACTTATATGTACTTTTTAATGCAATTGCAATTATTAATTTAATTTATGTAATTGACTTAAGGTAAAATTATATTTAATATCATTAAATTAAATTAGGTTTTACTTTTGAATTAGTGGTCAAAGATGTAAGATGGTGTACTATGTATTCTTAATATTATGATACACTCTGTATTTTATTTATATTACTCACATGTACTGTTTATTTTGTTTTTGTAAAGATTTAAATTTTTTACTATTGTGACGTGTTCTTTGTTGTGTATACAATTTTTTTTTTAAAATAATAAATCTATTTCTATTTCTATTTCTATGGTAAGATTTTTTTAAATAGTTTTAGTAAATAAACTTTTATTAATTAGGTATTTATTATAGAGTCAAATAGGACGATAATTTTCTTAAACATGGAATTTTTAAAACCAAAGATTTGGGTCAAATCGTGTCCTTAACCTTTTTAAACAACTACTGGATTTCTGTGTTAATTGTATTCATAGACAACCCTATTGTTTTACGTTTTTTCTTTAATTTTTAGATTTTTGACCATCATTAACAATGAAACTTCATTTCGATTGAAAGATTGGTGGTAGTGATAAGTTTTTATTTATTTGGACGTAGCGGAATCAAAAATGACTTCTAATAATGAAACCAGCAGCTACTGGGATTATCTTTTTACGGAACTAGCAGGTAAGAAATTGCTACTTAATTAATTAATTACAATAGTTAAATACTTTGGGAATTATTTTGTTTTTGTAATATAGTAATTTTTTCTATTACAATTAGATATTATGACGTTTTTTTGTTAAAAAAGATTTTTGTATAATAAACTAATGAATAATAATAATAGAAACTGGTTATGAAAAATAAAATTAAAGACGTATTAAAGACTTAATTATAAATTTTAATTTACTTTTTAACATTAAATTGGATACAAAAATTACTTAGATTTTTGTCACAGTGTTCTTTTATTTAAATAAAGAAACAATAGCCGATTTCATAACGTTAAAATATCTTAAATAAAGTTAATACGATACAAGATAAAAATATGTTGTAAGATAAATGAAGCAAATAAAATTAATGTAAAAATGTATGGTAATTAATGTCAAAACAAGTAATTTTATTTTACCAGTATTTTTTGTTATTTATTATGTATGTAGGTAAGTACCTACTAGGGTGTTTCAAAATAAGGCAATATTTTTTTGTTTCAAATTCATGTTAAATTTTTTCACTTATGCTAAAAAAAATATTCTGTCAAAATTTGAGCTCTTAATATTAATTTTAAAAGGTCCATCATCGAATTTAAAGTTTTCCCATTGATTTAACATGGGAAAATAGTTTTTTGAGATTTATTTCGCCTGCATGCTATGTAGAACTTTTTTTTGATAAATAATCACTGGTCCTTTTTTATCATTAAATTATCTACAGAGTCCAGTTTGTAGATTCATCTGTTTTTTTTATTAACGTTGAAACGTATAAATTCTAAAAAAATTGATATTTTTACATTTAGCGGCTAAAGTATTAATCGTAGTTCTACATAGTATGCAGGCGAAATAAATCTTAAAAAACTATTTTTTCATGTTAAATCAATGGGAAAACTTTAAATTCGATGATGGACCTTTTAAAATTAATATTAAGAGCTCAAATTTTGACAGAATTTCGAATTTGAAAAAATAAAAGTATTGCCTTATTTTAAAACACCCTAGTAAGTACTTTATGTACATTATTATTACCTAATTTATTTTTCAGTTAAATCAAATTTTTTAAATAAATCCACATATACTAGGGTGTTGGTTATTTCCCAAGATGGTTTTTTTTTACTTGGGTATTACATAAATTATTTTCTCATGAGAAAAGAAAAATATCATTAATTTCAATGATATTGGAGGTCAAAGTTTAAAATAAATAAAAAATATTCATTTTCACTTAGGTATCATCTAAATTTTTTGTTTATAAACTATTTAAACCTTTTTTTCGATGTCGTTTATTTATCATTGTTTTTTACACTTTTTGGGTGTTTGTTATTGGACTTTTTCTATTGGATTTCATAAAAATTATTTCTTAAAAGTCTAAAAAAAACTAAAAAAAAACATTTCTTATGTTATTTAACCTCACCAAAAAAAAATTGACTCGGTTATGTACAACAAAATCATATTACGTTTTTTTTTGTAAAACCATCTATTTAAATGATGTCGGAGGTCAAAATTTGAAATAAATAAAAATATGAAGCGGCAAAATTTAAAAAAATTACTCATGCATTTATTTTTTGTTTTTCATTAGAACTTCTTGGGCTACTTTTTACTTTATAAATTTTGACCATTGACATTTGAACTTTGACTGATCCTTTATTATAGCTAATGTAAAGTACTAATTCCACGCAAACGAAGTCGCAATTTTTTTTTAATTGTTGAATCTGTGTTAAAATTCTTGGATGAAATTATGGAGTCAATCCAAATGAAAACACCAAAAATGAATTTAAAAGTGCGCTGCATGATTTTTTATTGTAATGAAAAAATTTGAGGATGATCTTTTAGGTGTCAAATATAAAAATCCGTTACCGTTTTAATTTTTTGTTGCTTTACTTTTATTTGGCTCCCCTTAGAAGTCTGAAATAGTGTCAATTTCTTACTCTCTTATAGTGGGCCAGAACTTTTTTTCTGTGACAAATATTGAAATAATTTTAATTTTGTTTTACTGTCCAGTAAGTGTGTTTTCGATATAAATTATTATTATCCAATTAGTTAATCTCATAAAAGAATGGTAAACCACTAAAGATTCATGATAATTTGCCAATTTTTGTGATTTTTGTCTGGCTCCTGTGCCTATTCTACTGAACTTAGAAGGTTCATTTTTTTCAGATATAAAGTACTTATACAATAGAAAACGTAACTATTATTTTAAGTTTCTAGACTATCAATTTCTTTATTAAAAAAATTATTGAAAATTGATAATTCTCAAAATTAGCAAATTTTGCCCTCAGAAATCATTATGTTGAGGAAAAAATAAAAATCTGAAACTTTCAGGAAATGTAGTCCCCACCTTCATCTTTTCAGTCCAGTTAGTCTTGTTTTGTTATTTTTATTCCTTTAAAAGATATATTAATTTTTTTAATGCCCGTTTAGTAGCGATATTGTTAGTTTTATTTATAATTTAAAATTTAGATGGCCTTCACTTTGTCAATTCATCTTTGGTAGAGAAATGTCAGAACTGTCAAAAATATTTCATAAATTTTATTTGTGCGTATTTAAATTGTGATTTCAAAAAGTTTGCAAGTTTGCAAGTGAAATAAATGACGGAGTGTTCGAGATTCATGAATTTAATTGCAATTAAAAATGCAAGAACATATCATAATTTTGTACCTCTTTCTTATAGAAAATATTTAAGTTCTGAGAAGTTTTAAATTGTTAAAAATAAGCAAAAACCAAAAAATATTCTAAATAAACCCCTTTATTATAACATGTTTTATTTTAACCAGTTACCTAAAAACTAAAATTTAAAGAAGTATTTACAGATTGTGTAAATTTTTTCCAACACTAACATTTAAAATACATATATGTAAAAAAAAATTAAATGTAAATGTATACATTTAACTTTTAACTATTTAGTGTCTTACTAAAGGGATCAAAATAATAGAACACGACTAACTTGGTTTAAATTGTGAAAGAAACCGACAAAAAACTGCTTAACGCATTTTTTATACGTTTAAATTAACTCTTTATTAATTTCACTTATTATACTTAACGATATAAACCATAAGGATCTTGAATATATTGTTTACATTCTTCTTCTTTAAACACCAATTAGCCAATTAAATACTTTATTATAATGTATATAATATATAATCATATATATATATATATATATATGATTTTTTAATACATAAAATATAACATAACTACCAAAAATATCAGAACTGTCAAAAATATTTCATAATTATTATTTGTGGTAGGTATTCCTTTGGTGATTTTAAAAAGTTTTATATATAACATAATATGACATAGGTATTATGTTATATACAAAATTTACCAAAGAAATACACACAAATAATATTTATGAAATATTTTTGACAGTTCTGACACTTCTCCACCAAACATGAAAGCCATCTAAATTTTAAATTATAAATAAAACTAACAATATCGCTACTAAACGGGCATTAAAAAAATTAAAATATCTTTTAAAGGAATAAAAATAACAAAACAAGACTAACTGGACTGAAAAGATGAAGGTGGGGACTACATTTCCTGAAAGTTTCAGATTTTTATTTTTTCCTCAACATAATGATTTCTGAGGGCAAAATTGGCTAATTTTGAGAATTATCAATTTTCAATAATTTTTTTAATAAAGAAATTGATAGTCTAGAAACTTAAAATAATAGTTACGTTTTCTATTGTATAAGTACTTTATACCTGAAAAAAATGAACCTTCTAAGTTCAGTAGAATAGGCACAGGAGCCAGACAAAAATCACAAAAATTGGCAAATTATCATGAATTTTTAGTGGTTTACCATTCTTTTATGAGATTAACTAATTGGATAATAATAATTTATATCGAAAACACACTTACTGGACAGTAAAACAAAATTAAAATTATTTCAATATTTGTCACAGAAAAAAAGTTCTGGCCCACTATAAGAGAGTAAGAAATTGACACTATTTCAGACTTCTAAGGGGTGCCAAATAAAAGTAAAGCAACAAAAAATTAAAACGGCAACGGATTTTCATATTTGACACCTAAAAGATCATCCTCAAATTTTTTCATCAAAATAAAAAATCACGCAGCGCACCCCATTTGGTGTTTTTATTTGGAATGACTCTATGTTAACATATTGCATTACATTTTTTGTAAAAATTTAAAATGCACACTAGTATTTTTAAATAAATTTTATAAATTAAGGCATTTTTAAATTAAGTTTTTGGTTTTATTTTTAGATCATAGAACCAGCAATTGGTTTTTATTGAAAGACCCTGTACCTGGACTCACAATACTGGTGACTTATTTATTTTTCGTATTAAAATGGGGCCCCGCCTATATGAAAGACAGAAAGCCATTCGATTTAAGAAAAGTACTTATTGCTTACAATTTTGTTCAAGTTATTTGCAGTTCCTGGCTGCTATACGAGGTAAGTGAATTGAATATCGCTGTTACATTTTTTAAATATGAAAGTCATTGAAAGCAGTGCATTGATTACCTTCAGGTGGGCACTGATTTCACTAAAAACTGGAATATGCAGTTTTTAATTTTTAAATCTAGTGCATACCTGTTTAGGCAGATTAAGAACAAAAACATTTTATAAAAGTTTTTATACAGGCTGTCTCAAAACGTACATGAAATTTTATATTGAAAATTTAATTTTAAACAGAAAATTATAAATAACATTTTTTTAAATTTTACTTGGCTTTCAAGCTAATTAAGTTTAAATATAAATATTTTTACAAAAAAAATTTAGTATGAGTGTAACTCAAATAAAAGTTTTCACCATTAGTTTGAATACAGGCCTAAGTAATGTCAAATTCGTCATTTGAGTCATTTCAGCAATTTTATAATTTTTTAAATAGGTAGATATTAAGTTTGATCATTAAGATTTAAACCTATGCTTCAAATATCAAAAAATCGTACAGCCCATTTGGTTTTTGTTTATGTAAATTTTATGCATATAAATTGTGTTTTATTATGGTGGTCTTTGTTACGAAACATATTTAAATCCAAATAACTTAAAAACAGCAAAATTTCAAAAAATGTTCTTAACTTTGAATTTTTCTTATGAAATTTAATTTTTTGTTATTTACTAGAATTCATATATTCTAAATAATTTGTTAATAATACATTCTACCTCCTAATTAAATTTCCTATGGGGAAAGTAGAAAAATTTACTTGCTAAAAATTTTGTTAGACACAGTCCAATAAATATTGCCACAATATGATTTTGTGTTTATTGGATAATAATTCGTATTATGCATTTATTATAATGATATATTTGAAATTGCATAAGTTATGTAATAGTAATTTCTGTATATAAATTTATAATTTTATAATAGAACGCCATATTATGTTAATTAATTTAACCAGGAGTTCCTTAATTTAAAATATAATAGAATATCCCTATTAAATTATATTTTACAGGCTTCATATTTAACTAATGGTAAAACGTATTAACGAAATTTAAATTACACTGTTCACAGTATTGCATAATTATTTTTTATTAGGCTCCTTTTATTTATACCTAAGTGCTTTTATTATCCAAATGGTTGGCGACATTTTATTATTTTTTACGATAACCATTTTGTTAATTACACAGTGCAACAGGCAATTCTTAAATTGTTGCCCCGTGTTATACAGGGTGGTATTCATCAACTAAAGCCTAAAATACAAAACACAAAGGCTTATTGGTGTAGTCAAAACAAAATCAAGTATTTAATAATAACATACGGTATAAATAACCATCTAAATTAAAGACTTATAAATAAATAAATAAATAATACAAAAAACTGTAAAATATTTTAAGTATTAATTAATTAAACAAACATAACAATAACAATAACAATTATAACTAAAACTTATCTTTAAAGAACTCATCCACTGGATTGTTTTATTTTCTTCAAAACCTCTTCCCAAGAGATATATAGTTTTGAGGATCGTCTTTTTGTCATAAAAACAATACCAATGAAGAGATTTTAATCAATTTGGTACTCATAAAATATCATAATAATAAATCATATTAAATATCATTCTTTTTTCATAAAGTGTTGGAAATCATTCTTTTATCATAAAGTGTTGGAAAGATAGGACAATATGTATTCGTATATTTAATTGTTTGTTGAGTTTAAATTTGTTTTTAAAATATTGTTATTATGATTTATTTAGTACATGTCGTTTTTTATTATGATCATTCTCATTAAACTTTGAACCGAGTCCAGAAGTATGGAAAATAGATTAGGAAAAGTAAATGTTTAAGCAACTGGACAATTTTGACAATACAAATATGACATATTTGTATTGTCAAAATTGTCCAGTTGCTTAAACATTTACTTTTCCTAATCTATTTTCCATACTTCTGGACTCGGTTCAAAGTTTAATGAGAATGATCATAATAAAAAACGACATGTACTAAATAAATCATAATAACAATATTTTAAAAACAAATTTAAACTCAACAAACAATTAAATATACGAATACATATTGTCCTATCTTTCCAACACTTTATGATAAAAGAATGATTTTGAAAAATATGAGCATTTGGTCTTTTGAGATAAACTTTTCCACAGCTAAAGTAATGCATACTTTTTAAGGCTAAATGAGGCACCATCACCCCAGAAATAATCCGCTGTACATTGCTGCCACATCTTCCGTATTCTTTAGATTTGGCCCCCTGTGACTTTTCTTTTTCCATATTTAAAAAAAAAGGTAACTGAGAAGAGATATGCCTTAAATGCTAAAGTAATCGTCGCTGTGCACACATGTAGATAAGTTTTTGACGGAAAAGAGAAATCGTTTTATTCTAAAAAAATGAAAGGGTTGGAGTATCTTTCGAATAAATTATTCAAGCTCAAATTATGTTAAAAATCAAACTAATTTCGTACTCATGTTTATTTAGAAGTTTTCTAAAATAATTTAATAAAATCCAATTTTATTACGTTTAATTTTAAACACTGTAAATCTCTACATATCTATTTTTAACAAGCAAAAATAATGTTATATTAAGGAAGATTTCTTACTTCATGTTTTTTAAATCGAATTACATGCTTATTCGATTTGCGTTTCGCAATGCTGTTATTTAAATGAATTGTTTAATTTAAACGGCCTACATGTTACCTTATATCTCCCTTCATTGAAATTAAATTTTTTTTAAACAATTATCTTTATTTAAAAAAAATTGTATTCGAAATGCCAACAGGTTTCAATTACTCAACTTCCAAACATTTTTTATTGAAATTAATGGTGATACTTTATTTATGTGAATTTGCCGGCAAGGTGTGATACCACAAAGTTGAATTCCTTTAAATGGTTCGTGCATAAACATGTTTATTACTTTTACCTTACCATTTTTATTCGTAATTGTTTTTACGGTTAATTAGGGGTCAATTAATAATTATTTTATATGTTGAGACAATTTTTGTAACATACAAATCAAGATTTTAGTAAATTTTCATACCTTTTTTGTGTACTAAAGTTAAATAAATATTTGAATTGTTTTGTAATTTATAATGCTTATATATAAATATTTTTAGGCATTAGATGGAGCTTGGCTACATTACAGTTGGAAATGCCAACCTGTCGATTTCTCGGAAACGCCTGAAGCCATGAGGGTAATATAACTTATAATAATAGGAACATATATACCATAAACTACTTGATTTTTAAATAAACAAAAATGATTGTCAATAGGTCGCCCGAGGTGTTTACATCTATTTCCTAACCAAAGTAACCGAGTTACTGGACACCATATTCTTCGTTCTACGCAAGAACGAAAGACAGATCACTTTTCTCCACCTGTACCATCATGCTGGTATGATGGCTATATCATGGGGTGTGGCGAAATATTATCCAGGAGGACATGGGACTTTTGTGGGAATGATCAACTGCTTCGTCCACGTTGTCATGTACATTTATTATCTTCTGTCTGCCATCGGGCCTCAGTATCAAAAGTATTTGTGGTGGAAAAAGTACATTACTACAATGCAAATGGTAAGTTTTCTTTTTTTGTTCATTATTTCAGAATACCTAAGAGCTAAAAATTATTACATACAGCTCCAATTTTAAGTAGAGCATTCCAATATCTCACATAAACGAAGATCACACTTTTAGAGTTTTCAGAAGAAGACGTAGATGGTTCTAAAATTATTTCAGTCGTATCCTTATTCTTACTTTTTGAATTTTTCATTTTAAATTTTTTTGGTTTTATTCCCGTCTCTTTCTATTCCCCCTGCTATAGTTTAAAGGTCAGCACTACTTATGCTACTTAAAAAATCTTCTCTTTGTTTTTGTCATCAACGTTCTTTAGTTTCTTTGTTTTTCGCAGCAACATCAAACAAAATTTTTAAGGCACATCAATTCTCTGCTTAGGTACGCTGACACGCTGCCAAATAGTCAAAACTGCTTCGCATGTAGAAAAATTAAAATAAAGCAATTAAGTTTATTCAAGACCTTTAAGTAAACTATTTGTATTAATAGTTGCATAACTAACGCTATACCTAATTTATTTGTTATCTATGGATTTTTTTAGATTCAATTTTGCATAGCATTCATCCACAATGGTCAGCTCTTATTCTACAGTTGTGGCTACCCAAGATGGTCGGTGGTTTTCACCCTTCCCAACTCGATATTCTTCTACTACCTCTTTGCTGACTTTTACAAGAAGACATACAAGGGAGAAGTTAAAGGAAGTAATGGAATGGATAAAAAAGTGCATTAAATTGCTCTACAAATCCTAGATAAGTATTTAAATTGATATTTATAGTAGCTTCATATATCAATGCTGGTAGGCATTTGTATTAACGTACAAACATTATTTTTGCTTGTAGCCTAGTTTTTGTATTTTGTGTAAAATTATATAAAAAATAAAAAGATGTGATTTTTATAAATATTACATTTATTTTTGTATTATATATACAGCAAATTTATCGTCATGCAAAACAGAAATTTGTGATAGCAACTATTTTATCATGAAATTTCTGTTCCTATACATCATTAATATAACGAGTAATAAAATCATAAATAAAAACCAAAAAGTCAACAATAACTGAACCCGATAAAATATGACACTGCCTCTACATTTTCTATTAAATTTTATCAATGGTAACGTTATAGTATAGGTAATTCAGAAAAACTATTTTAAAAATACACTACTATCCTAAATAAAATCAGATTAGTACCTTCGAATAAACACGAAACACAAATTTACAAGAAAAACAAAAATAAATAACCATTCATTCCTTCAACCTAACAAACAGAAACAATAAATTCCCTAGTTGACTTTCAATGATTTGGAAGCCTTAGTGATACCACTCGATGTGGACGGTATAGGGTCTGCTTGCGTGGTGTGCTTCTGTTTCTTGTAAGCTTTCCTGTAGAAATCACTGAACAAATAAAGGAAGATCACAACGTTTCCGACAAAGAAGAACGTGAGGGCTTTTGGAAGATTACAGTCCATGGCAATGACGAACACCAGGTAGGCCAACATAATGCAGAATTGAGTCTAAAAAGAAGAAAAAGGTTATTACATTAAATCATCAGAGTAAAGTTTAAAAGAATGGATATCTCTTACAAACTTATGTATACATTATTTGGAAAAGTATTTTTTAAAAACTTTATAGGTAATACATATTAGTTAACGTTAATTCAGATCTGCAGGCGGTATTGCATATAGATAGTCCAAAACCAAATGTAAGTCTCCATTAAATAAAGTTTCAAATACTATAATAACGGTTTTTATCACAATATTGGCTTATATAATTTCAAATGCTGCTAGTTAGACAATGATAATTTTAATAAAATATTATTATATTATGTTACAAACAACTTACTTAAGAGTTACTTATTAGTCAATTTTGGTTATTTTGCATTTAGTTTATGTACAAAATGAAAGGTAACAAATGTTAAAAATGAGCTATAACAGATGTCGAAAATGAGCTATTTCAGATATCAAAAACTTATTTTTATGGCTTGCTCCTACTTATGCACAGCCACTTACTTAATCCACGAATGTACAAGCAAATGTGATCCCCTCCTCTAGGTTTACTCTTTGTTGAAAAAAATCAACACATAAAATTTATATATATAGTTCTTTACCTTTAGTTTGAACATTAATATTGCATATCAAATTTCAATGCACCAAAAACATAAATGTTGTGAGTCTAAATAATTAACGTTAAACAGTTTTTTTTGGATACGTATTAAGTTGATACTATAAACATGATGATCAATTTAATTCGTTGGCGTGTTTTTATTTTTATTTAGCGATGTGTGCAAATTAATTCATATAAATCTTGGGTATTTTTACTGAAATCCTTTCAGTATTGTTTGACAAATTTCTCTTAATTACTTCTTAAAAGAAACGTTGTTTTCATTTTGCATGCACGCAACTTTCTATAACAGTTGGTTCGGATTAATTAGGAAATTTTATTGTTGGTAATGATGAATTTATAAGATAATTTATGGTGAGTTCCATAATACTAAATACGTAATATTTGTGATTTATGTGTTTTAACTCTTAATAACTAAACATATTATTACAATTATCTTACCAATTGAATCCAAGTCATGTATTTTTTCCACCAAAGGTATTTTTGGTATTTTGGTCCTAAGGCTGCTAAGAAGTAATAGAAGTACATAACAATATGTACCATGGAGTTCAGGAATCCTATGACAACACCTTGCTCACCTAAAAATAATTTTGCTTTAAAAATAACTTATACTTTTAAAGGGTTAGTCTTAATTGTGGACCTCACACTTGAGGATCTCGGTCAAGTTTGTATCATTTGAGGGCCTTCGTCGAAAGCTATAAAATTGGCAATAATATGAAGTCCCATTTCAGAAACTCTATAGTAATATACTTGCTACTTTTTTCTACCTGGCATAAAAAAAGTTCCAGTAAAACTAGTAAATTTGTATTCCGTAGTTAAAATGTTTTCTTTACATAGGTACTTATTAACCAATGAAGCCAGTAAAACTTTGTTTTATTCCAGGGGATTTTATAATGGCTGAGACCAGATTAAAATATATTTTTTCTTCAACCAAGCGAAAAGTACAAAGTTGCACTTTTCCGAGGAGCGAGCGTTTTTTTACTTTGTCGCTCGCCGAGCGACAAAGTTATTTTGTCGCTCACTTAGTTACCATGGAAACCATTATAAAGAAACGTTTATGTGTTTGCGAATTTTGACACAAACGTCAAATTTAAGATTATCAATAATTATTAATTTTTACCAAACATTCTTATAGAAACACCGGTTGTAGAAAAAATCCTGTGTGTAATTCGAACGCAAAGTGACATTGCCGCTCTCGCGAGATAGCCAAACTTCTCACTCAGAGCGGCAATGAATGGCTTTGCGCTCTTAATACACAAATAGCTATTTCTTTGCTTGCTCCGTGTCATATTAATTTCCAGCCTGCTTCGTAAAACATGTCATGTTTGGTATCTTCTAGCACTGATCATTGGGATATACTCTTCCCAACCTTCTATTAAACTTGCATGCCAGGATTTCAAAAAGTTTATAGTCCTATAAAAGGTTTAGACATAATCTAATATGATCTTATAATATGGCCGAAAATTATATAGCTAAACATGTGTTTAGTTAGATCAGCAAGTGATTCAGGTCAAACTGGTACCTGTAGGTTAGGTCCTCAAATAAGACAAAAACAGTTACATTTTGTATAGGTCCTCAAACATGAGGTCCTGTACAGAGATTTACTTAATAGTTTTTAAAATTAATTTTAAGATGGTTTTACTAACTAATTTTAATAATAAAAGTTGTAATTTATAAATTAGATTGAAAATAATAAAATATTGTACTATCAAAAAATGACTAGTTGTCATAGCGAAAAAGCAGCCACTAATAATTCTCGTCAATAGCAATTTGTATCCCGAACATTTAGCAGTCAATTTCCATGTACAATTGCCTCCTAAATCCGAAAATGTCGTCAAAAGTTAAAAAAGTAGAACAGTTTTTGATTTAACATATAATATGGAATTTACTATGTCTCAAAAACTGCTCTAGTAACTACTCATTTTTGACTAATTCATTCATTTTTAGAGAGTAGATAATGTAGACCCAGGCGGTAAAGTGACATTTTTCAAGCTGGAAAAGGGAGCCTAAACACTTCTTAAAGCCTGGAAAATCACTCTACCGCCGTGTTTATATTATTTTTCTTCCTACACAACGTGACTACAAAAAATTTCTACAAAAAAGATAGCCCGCAGCGGCATCTACACACATTTGGATATAACTTTCCGCAGAAATCTATACTGGTGGTCATTTAATATTAAAAATGTAATTTATAATTTGCTAATATTACATTTTAACAAGCCTATTATTTTAAAGAAAGAATACAGCTTATGTTTAACCAAAAAGAATAAATGTATTTGTAAAACTCTTATTTTTTAATTTTAATTTGACCTATTACACAGTACGACAAAATTTGATTTTTGGTCCCTCCCATGAAAAATTTCTACAGATTCTAAAAATAGAGTTAAAAAAATGATACCCGTGTCTCGGCGTTTTTTCACATCACGTCATAATTTTTTTTTAAGGGCTATCCAATAAAATGTTATTCACACTATTCGCGACATAATTTAATAGACTCGATAACAGCTGGACTGCATAGTTAAAAATATATATATTTACTAAATGGATAGGCAACCATTATAGATGCATTTTAAAATTATTTTAATCTTATACAGAGTTTTGCACATTTATATATATATCAAACGGTTTATTTTTAAACCAAGTAACAAAATGTTTCAATTTTAAGCCAATCAAAATGCTTTAAAGTCGGGTGATTACAATTTTTATTTATTCAATTTTTTGTAAAAATTGAGCTTTGTTGAATTAACATTTTTAAAAAAAATTAAAAGATATTTAAATGAATTTATTTAAGTCTTAAAGCAAGTGTACCTAAAACATATTTAATTTAAGTTTTAAAAAAAGTATTTAAGTAGAAGTCAATTGAAACAGCAAAAAAACAAAAAATTTACACATCTGCGGCATTTATACATAAAAAGCATTGTTTTCAAAACAATCTTTATACAAGGGTAATACTTTTTTTTAAATGTTAAATAAAAACATTATTGCAGCGATAAATCGATAAATTTTTCATATTAATTTTGATTGTTGAGTTAACCATCCATTTGAAATCAAAGTAAAAATGCAGTGTCCGAATCGAAATAATTTTTGTTATGTATGTGGTTTATTTGCACCTCCAAGCCATATGCGAAATATTACAAAAAGTGTAGTAACAGCTTTTGAAGACTATTTTTTGGTGACGTAGTACCAAACTTATGGTATGTACCAGAGGTTTTATGCGATTATTGTTACCGTTGTTTGCATGGATTGCAAGATAAAACACACAGTATGAAATATGTTGCACCAACAATTTGGCTTCGACCCGTCGCGACTTACCGAACACGCATCTGACCAGTGTTATTTCTGCATGTCAAAATTAAAAAGTTTTGGATTTCGGTACAATTCTAGAGAGAAAATTGACTACGCCGATGTAGAATCCGTCATTCTCGCAAGAGTGCGATCTGAAGATTATCCAACTGCTCCTTCAGAAAACATATATGAGGATAAAAGTAAAACACCTTTAACACCCAGTACAACCATTTTTTCCGAGATGGAATCTGAATTTATTCCCTGTAGTTCGGGTTATAAAGTACATTTTATAGCACAGGACATGAAAGTACATATGTCACTGAAAATACATTTTCTCCATGCTCATTTGGACTATTTTCCACCAAATTTGGGCGATTTTAGTGACGAACATGGCGAACGTTTTCACCAAGACATTTTAACAATTGAAAAACGCTTCAAGGGAAAAGACGTCAGGCATTGGCTGGGTGAATATTGCTGGTCAATTGTTCGAGATTCTGAAGCAATATACAGCCTGTTCAGAATAAAACCGAATATATCTATATATATATATATGGGGCGTGGCCTCGCCTCCCTCCAAGGCGCGTCACAGTTGCTTGTGTGATAAACGACATGACGAAAGGTCGAGCAGGTAAGGACTTAAAAAATTAAAAGATAATAATGCAAAAAATCTCATTAGCGATGCAGTCTATTTGCTTAGCTACTGTGTCGCGTGTTGAAGGGAGGCGAGGCCACGCCCCATATATATATATATATATATTCGGTTTTAGTCTGAACGAGCTGTATAATCGTCAAACTAAACGACCAAGATTTTATTCCAACATGTATTGAATATAAGATAAATACAAAAATGTGTTTCATTAAAAAAAAAATAAAAAAAAAATATTTAAAAAAAATCAAAATATAAACTTTTTTTATATTTGTTTTTTGAATTGTGTAAAAACATACAATATTTACAAAAAAATATATTTTTAACCGAGTAAAAAATGTACAATCTGTATAAGCATAAATAATAGGAATAACGGCTTAAAAATTTTTTATGACGTGATCTCGTGAAACTGTGAGACACGGGTACGTTTTTTTTACCTCTATTTTCAAAATCTGCTAAAATTTTTCATGGGAGGGAAATCGTGTTGTACTGTGTTATTACAGCGCCCAGTAAACCAAAATGTTAAATAAAAATGTTTACTTTTCGCCCCCTAATTAAAATGGTAATTTAAGTGTAGGGAAAAAAATATTTTATTTTTATTTTTTGTACTATAAATAGGTTAATTATTTTTTAATAAATTTGGAAATAATAAATAAAGGATGTAAAAAAGTGTCTTACCTGGTAAGAATTTAAGGTATCCCCACGAAAAGAACATCGTACAGGCATGGTGATAAACGTGAAGAAACGTTACTTGCGATTGTTTTTTTCTTAAAACGAAAAACACTGTATCCAGAAGTTCCACTATTTTCGAGAAGAAGTACCACCAAGCACCATTTGCTAACTAAAACAGAAATTAAAAAATATTATAGTATACTGTATTGAACACACTAAAAAATAAATCTTGTCTTTAAACTCTTGTTGTTTTATAATTTTCTTTAACATTTATGAAATGGAAAACAATGTATAGGTATACATATTTTTTTTCAGTGTTATTAACTGAATTTGATTTCCCATAAATTTTAACAATCGTTTCTACATACGACCATAACCTATAAAATTATCGTTTTATTTTTTGACTTACCGCATCCTGGAAATCCTTGTTGGGGGACGGATTTTTACATGTGTGATTAAGAAGGTGCGGAACTGCATTTTTGACTCTGAAAGCCTGTGCGCACAGCCACGTGCTGAAGATTACTTGATACGCATTATACACTATCATAACATATTTTAAATTGTATGCTTCCCTGTTCTTCATTAAATTTGGGCCTAATTTTAATACGAAATATAAATAAATGACTAGAATTGATATTACTGGAATTGGGGACTGCATGAAGAGCCATGAGTCTACTAGGGGATCTAAAAAAGAAGAAAAAAACTACAGTAAAACTGTATTTGAAGAGCTACAAGGTCAGTTAAATTAGCTTAATTTGAAAAAAAAACTGAAAATCTATCAAAACCAAAAATCGTTAGAACTTCGTAATTCATGTAAATTTTCATCCGATTTTTATTAAAATGTAAAAAAATATTTTATTGTTTTTATAATTTTAAAATTTTACTCAAACAGGCTTGTAATTACGCAACTTTTTTTGATATAACCAACCTTGTGGATAAAAATAAAAAAATACCCATATGCAAACACTTAAAAGGTGCAACTTGTAAAGCGATAGCATACTATCGCTTATTTTAACTACCTTTCTTAAAACGAATTAAGTCAATAATAATTAGTCAAATTCTAATGAATGAAATAGTCAAATTAGTAGATTTAAATTTAAAAAAGTTATGACCCAGCCGGGGATTGAACTCAGGTCTGTCACTATTAAGCTATTGTCATAACCAATGTGGCTATCAGCAGTGGCGGCTGGTGGATTTTAGGTATACCAATATTTCAGTTATTAGACATGGGACCCACACCAAATTTATAATAGTTTATAATGACATTAAATAGACAAGTTCGGCGCAAACAGAATTTAAATTGAAGTTTGCGAAAAAAAGTTAGTTTTTCTTGTCGCCTCACCCGCCTCCAGGCTCCCCTATTTAAGATAATTCAAATTAAAGTGGTGCAATTTATTATCTACTATAATTTATCGACATTTTTTAAATTTTATTTAAAAAATCCAAATATTACAGGTTTTATACCATTTTAAATATTTTTTTATTTTAATAAAATAAATAATAAAAATTTAAAATCGAATAAAATATGTAATATTTGGATTTTTAAATAAAATTTTAAATTTGTCTATAAATTATAGTAGATAATAAATTGTACAACTTTAATATGAATTATCTCAAATAGGGGGGCCTGGACTCCAGGCCCTGGAGGCGGGTGAGGCGACAGGAAAAACTAACTTTTTTTCGCAAACTTCAATTTAAATTCTGTTTGGGCCGAACTTGTTTATTTAATGTCGTTATAAACTATTATAAATTTGGTGTGGGACCCATGTCTAATAACTGAGATATTCGTATACATAAAATCCACCAGCCGCCACTGGCTATCAGTCACTCTTATAAAAATCAATTTTATTTGTCAATACATATTGTTAATAATTTTTGCATCTTTGTTTAAATGGGCCATGTAACCATGGAGCCTATATGCATTTAATTCAAATAATACTTTGTTGTTGGCAGCAAACGATTAAAGAAATTAGTTACTTTTAACTCTCAGAAATAGTCAAAGATAATGACTAATCTTAAATTATTCAAACTTAAACTATTTACGTAGTCAAAAATAACTATTTAAAAGTGAAAACGACTATTTTATTAGTAAAAAATGCTAGTACTAATTCAAATAGTAGAATTTTGACTATTTCATTTTAAGAGAGAACTATTATCGTGGTGTTCTAATAATATTATTACCTTTTTTGGATTCCAGTAATTCATTGTAGTTTTCTACGACTAAGTGCATTAAAGAAGTCATCATAACCTGAAAAGAATAACACATGATATATTTTATAATAAACTATTAAAATTTGTTTAAATTTTAAAAGGTAAAGAAATAAACATTTTTACAAAAATGATTAAAATGACAATGACTAATAAACTAAGCAACAATAGTATATGTGGAAAAAATGGTCGAGTCCAAGCGAGTATTCGTTTGACGCGCGAGCGAAGCAAGCGTGGCAAGAAGGAACCTTCTCCACGAGTTGCATAGGTACTTATATTATTTTTTCAACAATCATTAAAAAAAGTTGCAATTTTTTTATTGATATCGCTTACGTAAAGGTTTTTGTCCTTAAGCAAACATGTGTTTACAACAATATTAAGTAATAAAAGTTAACATATTTTTGCTTGACAACAAAACGAAAAACGACTTAATATTTTTAACGGCGATATGCTTTTAAAAAACGTCACATTCGTTTTGTTCATAATCATAATCATAATTAATATTAGGTGCAATGATATCTTTTCGTTATAAATAAAAATACTGAACCTTGCGCTTTTTAATCGGATTATATAGTCCGAAGATTCCGTTGCTATTAAAAATCCATTCAAGTTCTCATGACCGTGACAGACCGGACACTACGTGGACTACAATATGAAATTATACGATATACCGTGGAGGCTAGCGTTACAAGAAATAATAAAAGATGGCGATTAAAAAAATAAGATAAATCCATAGATTATGCATTAAGAAGCCTAAAAGCGCTGATTAAAAACTTCTTTTTTAATGATAAAACTGACGTAGTTTATTTATGGGTAAGTATTCCTGTCATAATTTATTTGTTATCGTTATACCTAGCTTTAAAAATAACAGCTTTTGACAATTTAAATCGGTCTCATAACTTATATAATTTATGTGTGTCGTTTTGTTAATTTACCTCTTGTGGTGTTTTGTTTTGGTTAACATGAAAAAATTGGAAGAAATTAAAATGTAGAATGGATTGTTTTCTTCGTTATGTATTACTTTTATTTGTAAGTTATATTAATTGTCTTTTATTGGTGCCACAAACATTTTAGACTAGTTTGTTTTATTGGCGAACGCGTTTAAAACATGTACAACACTTGCACTTTAGTAGCCTCCTTACTTTGACTGATCACGAGCCGACACTGATTATACAATATAATATATTATTTTGTTTTTAGAATAAACTTTTTAGAAGTGGTAATTTTAGTTTAGAAAAAATATGAAGCATTGTCAAAACAAATTTGTTAAAAAAAAAATTTAGTAAAATATTGAAGAAAATTTAACTTTTTGAGAACAAACCGAAAGTCACCATAGGTCTTTATAAAGAATTGTATTACACTTTCAAGAAAAAAATTATAAACAAAATCAACTTAGAAAAATACCATGTACTAGTCAAAAATGACTAATTGTCATAGCCAAAAAGCAGCCACTAATAATTCTCGTCAATAGCAATTTGTATTTCGATTATTTGGCAATTTCCATGTAAAATTGTCCCCTAAATCTGAAAATATCCTCAAAAGTTAGAAAAGTAGAACAGTTTTTAAGATATAGTCAATTTTCTTATAAAATGGAATTGACTTTATCTCAAAAAACTGCTTTACTTTAATAATATTTCGAAATCAGGAGACAATTTTACATAAAAATGGTGATACCATGGTATCTCATGGTTAAGCATGGTATAAGTGAAAAAGCAGCCACTATAAATAATAACTGTAGTAAGTAGTCATTTTTGACTAATTTATTTTTAGAGAGGCTTGAAACCGCCCTAGAATTGTTTAAAATATCCTAAAACGTTCTAAATTTATTTAAATGTCTAAAATATCTAAACTTTCGCAAAACTGACTAGTAAATGTTTAAACTTTTAGAACAGGTTAAAATATCCTAAAACTAATCTAAAACTGTCGTAATAATATTAAAAAAACTAAAATCTAAAATGCACTTAAACCGTATGGAACACTTAAATTATTCTAAACCTGCTATGGAGCTATCTTAAATGTCTAAAACCCTTTAAATGTCTAGAACTGTCCTTTTACCAATTTTAATTGATTAAAATGTCTGATCTAAAACTGTTTTAGGATATAGATTTTCTAGAAATTTCTTAATTTTGTTCTTATCGCCATCATAACTTTTTAAATAAAAAAACCCTGGGGCATTTTTTCCCTTAAACTAACAAATATTATATATACGTATTCATAAAAAATGTATTATTCGCTGTTGCAGTATGTACCCTACAAACTGCAAACAACTTTGCTTTAAAATAAATAATTTATGGTACCATTGAATCGAAAATTCCTTTCGCGTTCTTAAATGCACTCACTTAAGAAAAATGCATGTTCGTATATTTACTTCCTTTCGATTTCACAATATTATGAAAGTCGGAATTGGTTTCTAGTTCGCTCCTAAACAAAAAAATGCTAACAGGCGCTGTACAGTATGTACTTACAATGGTACTGGAGCCGTGATGATTTAATTATGAAACATTTAGGAAAATTAAGACTGGCACAGTTAAAAATTTCCTGCAACTTAAAATGGTATAAGTTTTAACCAGGACCATTATTGTGTAATATATTATCATTGCATTAATTTTTATATTTGAATTTGTTTAAGTGCCTTAAACCTAAAATTAAACTGGCATTGCTTATCAACTAATAAAACTGAACATATTTTATTTTGCTGATAAAAAATCCAATCAAGAATTTAAAATAAAAAAAAATCAATCATTAACATTGTAAATTCAAATAAAAAGTATTTAATACCATGTTAACAAGTTGTAATTTGTTGGCATATACATTGTAATTTGTTGGCATATATATACATTGTAATTTGTTACTATATATATTATATAAAAATTTTTCTACTCCCACCTTTAAAACGCCCTTTATTGTACATGTTTCTATGACACTAAGTGACCTTTTAAATACACATTGGCAAGTTGTGGCTTTACGGCGCTTTAGTCACGGGCTGAAGTTAGCAACAGGTTTTTAGTCACGGGCTGAAGTTAGTTTGAAGTTAGTTGACAGTCAAATGTCATACATTGTAATTTGTTACTATATATATTATATAAAAATTTTTCTACTCCCACCTTTAAAACGCCCTTTATTGTACATGTTTCTATGACACTAAGTGACCTTTTAAATACACATTGGCAAGTTGTGGCTTTACGGCGCTTTAGTCACGGGCTGAAGTTAGCAACAGGTTTTTAGTCACGGGCTGAAGTTAGTTTGAAGTTAGTTGACAGTCAAATGTCATACAATTGTTAAAATAGTGCCTTTCTTGTAAAATAATACTAAATGTGAAACTTATTTTATTATCTCAATACAAAAATACAAAAGTATTAAATAGTTTCTCAACGCCAATATTAAAAAAGTTTATATGAACATTGTACTGACCTTTTAATTTCGCCGGCAGTAAACTATAACTTAAATTCGGGCACGGACTCCACTGTAAGGTCCTCATAAAACATTTTCTTTACTTTTACTGTGAAAAACTGTAAATTTTCAAAAAATACATTTCGATTTATAACCTTTATAATCTGTGTTTACAAAATATAAAAATGTGACATTTGACGGTGACACACAGATTCCCCTATTGTTTCATAGATGGCGCTCTATACAATATTTTATTTAAATCATTTTAAGATAATAATAAGTATTTGTCGTAGAAAAAGTATAGTATGCACCTCGTTTATAAACTTTTCCATACACTCATTAATTTAGGCACTCGCTCGCAAGCTCGCTCCTGCCTAAATTAAATTCGTGTATAAAATGGCGTTTATCAAACTTAATACATAATATACTATTAATTACCTAGTTATAATACATTGTTTATTTTGATAAAATTCAAATTGTTTATTGCTTGGACCATTATCTATTAAAAAGAAAGTTGGGATCCGTTATTGGGCGCAAAATTGCGGTCATCGTTTTTAACGTAAAGGGAAAATGGTACCTGCTTCAAGCAATGAAAATGAAACGGAATTTATTTGTCCTCCTTTGGACCGCCCGATACATCAATATTATAATTATAATACTTTAAGTACACACTTCGTCTAAGATTATAACGGTTTATATCTTTTAAAAAGTATGTAGATTAGTAGTAGTAGTAATTTGGTTAAATGTCATTAATTTGAGCAGTTAAAAAATACATTTTTAGTGCAATGGTAAGAATATTAATGTATTGTAAAAACTACATTAAGTTTATGGGTTACAAAAAATTATAATTTTATTTACATAGCTTATTTCTTAATGTTTATAAATATGCTATGGATTTTGGTTTTTAGAAGAAAATAACGAATCTACCATTATCAATATCCAACATTAAAATTACCCATTGATCATTTTTTTATAATTGTAAAAATTAAAATTTAGCTAAAGTCATGTATAAATTATTTATTAATTTTGTCCCTTGTCGGTTAAAGCAAACTCCCTGGGAAATAAGGGATTTATTGGTTATGTTCACCATTGCAAACAATAAATTTTATCTTTAAGCATTCTATAATTTAAGCTTTAATATTGTCAACACTCACTACCAAAGTATCTACCTTACTTTATGCTTCTAATTATTGTTATTATAATTTTGAATACGTTTTATGTATCGTTTAACAAATAAAACTGTGCATCTAAGATAAAATGTTGTATGCGATTCGGCTAATATGTGTCTTATTGTGCTTCGCTCAAACTTAAAGCTTAGCAGATTACATAAATATGATTTTAAATGTTTTTACATATTTTCACATATTTGGTATTAAATAATCCAAGAACCTATGGAAAAAATTTAAGAAAACATAGTTATATAAGGAAAATTTATCATTGATTAAAAAGGTTTTCAATTTTTATGTAACTAACTTATACCTGGGAATTTTGAGAAAAAGCAAATTTTACATGTAAACATAAACATTTTATCCAATTAGTGATTTTTTGTGCATATTAGATTTTGAGATACCACCACCATCTTTAGGTTTTCCTAGGGCCGCCATATTAATATTTACAAGATTAGATAAAAAAAACAATGAATCCAACGATGTACCAAGTACATAAGTTATGACAGCTATTATAAAAACAAAATATGGTAATGGTAACTCAAAACATAATAACGTAGATATTGAAAAAAATGTAGACCAATGTGTATGTTTAGATGTAAAACTTACCTTGTTTCAAAATTCCCAGGAAGTTATAACACTTTTTGCTTTTAAAAGGTTTTTAGTTTTTTAAATATTTTGAGAACCGTTGGCTTTTTTTACAATTTATAAATTTCATATTAATAAAAGGCTTTTAACGAAACTTTTCTGTAATTTAACATTGTAGAAATACCTATACATAAATACATACACATATTTTAAATTAATTTGTATTTTTAAAGTATTTTTTATTATAATTTTTTTTTCAATAGGTAGATACTCTGTAAGTATTATGTTTTAAAACCATACAAAATTGACATTTTCGGCATATTGTTAAAAAATGTACGCTTTAAAAACTACTTAACCAAACAAATATGAAATTTTAAATCTCAAATACATTTAAAATTACTTAAATTTATTTAATTTTAAGAAGTAGATATAGATAATGTATTTAAAGATTATTTTTTTAGCGTATTACACTTAAAAAATTGGTCAAATATATTCATTGTTTATAAATAAATTCACTTAACTCATTTTGTAAAAAAAACTAGATCCGATGCCCGTTGCGATTTTTCATAAATATTTAAAAACAACATTTTGTACAAAAAGTTTTAAATTCTACAATTAATATCCACCTATTAACTATTTTATGACACTTTATTTTGTATTTTTTCTGTATGTAATAAACAATCAGTGTTTTACCCATATATAAGTAAAATTGCTTTAGTTTGCTTACATTAATCGTTGATATAATTTAGTTTTTTGATGACTTTAAAATAAAACAATTAGACATAAATTCTGCATTTACAAATTTTAAGTGCTAAATGCACATTGTCAGCATGTTTGGTGTATTGAACTTAAATTTCGTAATACAAAAATTAGGTATTATTTATAACAAACGTCTGCAAAATTAAATTAATTTAATAATATATTTATTAAAAAAAAAAAATGTGTTTAGCATTTTTAATTTAAAAAATTTAGGGTTTCTATGGTAATATTATTTCAAATTAAATTTTTCACCCTATCAAAATCCAAACTAGTTTTTTAACCTCCTAAAATAACATATAATTTTTTTTAATAATTGTCACTTACCTATAACTAAAACTAACTAACCACGTAAACAAAAAATTTAAAAAACTAATACAATTTATCTACACTCTGTATGTGTCCAACTTTCTTTATTGAATACGGAGTCACAACTAAAAGAAACTTGCTACACCGTTTGCTTTCATTTAAAAGTAAGCATATTTGTTCCGACTGAACATTGTGTAGCAAGTGCTTTTACTTATAATCAAAAAACAAAATGCCAATGCGAGATGCGGAAAGAAAGGTGGAAGTGGAAATTAATTAAGGTCTTAGATCATAGGGAAATTATTGTTATACTCCAAATTGTTGCAGTCATAGCGATTTGTGTCAATAGATTTTTTTTGTAAACGGTCAATGTCATGGCGGCTTTTTGGTAACGGGATCCTATTGTGAAATATTAATTTCTTAAAGACAAATAGGTGAAGATGATTATTCAAAAATGTCATAATTTTAAAATTAATCTATTTATAACAATTTTTTTTCTCAACCAGTCAAAGCTAGACTTTTTTTGTAGAAAATTTGTTCTATTGCAAAAAAGTCTAAAATTAATATTTCAAGTGATATGTACAGGGTGTTTTGTTATAAATGGAAGAGATAATGAAAAAGTTTAAAATCCACACTCAGAAAAATGTACATGCACTTATAATAAAACTAATTTTGTAAGCGATTAATAAAATAATATTATATAACTTAAATTTAAAATTGTAATGGCTATAAAAAATGTACCACCTAAGGTAAATTTTTTATTAAATTTTCAGTGTCTTATTGGGACAAAAACCTACGATTTGTCAAAGTAATGAGATTATTTTTATTTACAGAATAAGCTTTTTTACTGTTAATAAAATTCTCATTTACCATAATGAAGCAGCAATGTTGAGCTTTTATAAAAAAAAATGTTCATCCAACAATATGTATAGTCATGGCAATAAGAAATACTTTATGCTTATATTACATATTTGTCAAACATACAATGTTTTTGTTAAATCTATAGTTGTGTGTGAACAAAAATATTTTATTGCTATAAAAAGACTTTTTTAATATTAACTATTGTTTTGCAATGGTAACAAAATTTTTGTTATTTCCCTTAAAATGAGGGGGAAAGGGCCAGCGCTCTCCTTGGTGAACATAACTTTATAATCCAAAGTCTGTGTTATAATCTTATTGATTTCACTTGTGCGAGTGAAGTGTGGTAAAATCTAGCATGATAAAAATATCAAAAAGATCACTAAGAAAATTAAAATTTTCTAAAAGAAATTCTATTCTATAAACGAATCAGACTTGTTTAAAAAGGGAGTTCATATTTTTTTTATTTTGTACATCAAATAATTTGATTTAATTTTTTTGTTATAAAAATTAATTAGTTTCAATGCCTTGCAATTATTAAAAAAAAATACCCAACAGTAGTTTGAAAATGTGACCATTGTTACAATGAAAATAGTTTATTGAATTAACAATTAATTTGTTGTTAAACTTCTATAAATAATACCATTAGGGTTTCATTAATACTATAAAACGTTTTTGTAAACGATATAGAATTGTTTTTTTGGACAAATAATAATAACTATATTTATCAATGCGTTTCTGCATCTAGAGTGTTATTTTTATAAACATAACGTAAATTTACAGCGTTTGTAGATAAATAATTTTTATAAAAATGATCTTTTTGCCGTAACAAAAGCAATTGTTAAACGAATAGGTATACTTTATTAAGACAAACTACTTTTTTGTTATATTTATTAAAAAATGTGAATGCAGCTTGGTTTAAAAAAGAATTTTTTTGCCAAAATTTCAAAAAGAAAAAGTTTAGGTAAATTTAATAAAATAACATTGACATTGTGTTTTAAATAAAACACCCTATATATTTTCATTTAAATTAAATAGAGTTTTTTTTTAACCTAAAATAAGCATGGCGTTTGGAAGAATTATTGGCGTTGTATTAAAAATTAATAATAAAAACATGGTTATTTTATGACGTGAGTTCTTTCTCTATGGTAACTAAGATTTTTACGTTAAAATAAGTTTTTGGTTCAATAAAAAAAATTTTAATTTTTAATTCAAACAAATTACACCTTCAAAAAATTAAAAATTTTTGAACATTCAAAAATATATAGGGTGTTCAATAAAAAAACAATGTAATATCTATTTTATCAATTTTACCGATACTTTTTGTTTTTTCAATTTTTCTTAAACCATGCAAGCTGGAGTTTTTAATTTATTAATATGTCCTCAAACAAAGATTTAGAGGTGTGTCCCAAACACCCTGTACATATTTAAAGTAAACATTTTAAATTTTAGCAAAAATTATTTTGTTTTATTCTTTAAGTATTTTTCAAATTTTAATTGTTTTTGGTATCTAACAAATGAAATAGGCGGGAAAATATTATATTATTATTAAAAAGATAATGCGCATAATCTCAAGTGTAATTCTACCCTCCAATTAATAGATATTTAAATGATTATAAAAAATAAATAAATACAATCTGACATATGTCAAATGGTTAACCTCAATTTCTACCAATTTTAAATATTATTATAGTCGCAAAACCCGATTGGTTCAAATTACAGTGAATATTGAAGTCGACCAACCACTGATGCCTAGCAACGTGAATAATAAGTCCACTATTTCCGTTGTTAGGGGCAGCATTTATAATGGATATCATTATATATGGAAAACCCCAATTTTATGCAATACGTGTAGATAAAATTTAATATTATTAAAATAAATATTTAATACATATGAATATTTAATTGTATTTTAATGTATTTAATTGTTCGATTTATGTATATGATATTTTTTGTTCAATCGTTTACACGCTTTTGCTAAAATTTTAAATTATATTTTTATTAATTATTAAAAGTATTTTTACAATATTACACTTGATATTGGTTATACGAATTAAAATATCAACAGTAGACTGCAAAAAGACCTCTCTTCAAAAAAGATGACTTAACTTTCTTCTATCGTGTAAAGCAGGTCAATATGTTAACGTAACCTGCTATATCTACGTCGGTACGTTCAGCATTGAAATTTACCCATCGGTAATGGATAGTATAGATATAGTCCAGCCTTAAATATTCTGTCCCAAGTAGGTAGACAATTAACCAAAATAATTTGCTAAGTACATACAGTTTTATTTATCAAAAGAAAAGACAACACTACTAAGGTGCTATTTTGTCTTAAAAGTAGGATTTATAGTAGGTTTAGCAGAATTTTACACGCTTTAAATGCTTTTTTCTACTCGTTTTAAAGGTTATCAATACAAAAATAAGTTTAAAATATGATTATGTTAAAAAAACATTTTATCCTTTTAATATTTTTTATTACTAAAATTGCAAAATATTGTCACAGAGTTTTAAAAATTCTTACACGGGAAATGTTAGACCATTTTAACACCAAATTAACACCATACATGGTCTATATCGATACAAACCAAAATGGTGTTAAATATGGTTTGTTGATCCGGTGTAAATTCAAATACTAAAATAGTGTAAATTTAACTTTCACACGGTATTAAAATAAATTTTACCTGGTGTAAATTGAACTCCTTTTCAGTGTTAAATATTATGTGTTTTTGGTCAAATTAAATCATACTACACAGAAAAAAAGGAAAAAAAAGGAAACAGGAAGTTCCTTGACGCATTACTGGTATATTACCAGTGGTATTATTCCAGAAAATTGAACCTTCAACTCGCTAGAGATAATGATTTTAGTGCCTTCCACTAACTTAAAATACTTCAAGTATTGACAGCTGTTTCCACCTATTTAAGGTATCTTTAGTATTGAACTTGTAGTGTCACACCAAAGCAAAGGACTACCTGACCTTATGTACTCTTCATGTAAGTCAACAGAGGCGAGATTTAAGAACATCACGTGATCCACTCCGCCTTTGCTGCGGTCGGTACACACTATGCAACCAGGGATGCACGGCAAATTGTTTTAATCGTTTTAACAGAGTGCTTTAGGTTGAAGTAACTCTTATTTTACGAACAACATATTTAGTAAACTGAACCTTACAGCAGGTTGGTTTCACTAAAGTTTTCTGGGTTAATTTAACCAATTAAAAAAAAATAACTATCTGGTTTAGTACCGTCAAACTAATCTTTGTTTATATTAACCTTCCCACAGTTGATTTAAATAAATACTTATGGGTCAACTAAATTAATATAAATGAACTATTCCTTTTTTTCTGTGTATACACATATACACATATACCTATACTATAGGTCCTATAGGTGCACTTCTCAAATATTTTTAGATAAACACCGTTTTGGTGTTTGCTGTATATAACATTTTCAACCGTAATTCATGGTGTTTATATTAACACCACTTGGTGTTGGATTTTGACACCATTTTAAGATTACACTTTACACCACAGATACTTTAAACAGTGTGAAGGTACAAAAAGTGAGAGTTGTATTTATTGGAATTTCTAACTGGGGAATCTACCGGCGTTAAAATTTCAAATGTTCCTGATAAAAATCAAAATTTATCCCTTGAAAATAGACTAACAATCGATATACAGTTTTTTACAGTCATAGAGAAGAGAATGTTTTATGGGCACTGCACAAAATTTTTATTTATATTGTTTTTGGCGTAAAAAAACTATTTAATACTTTTGTACTTTTGTATTGAGATAATAAAATAATTTACACATTTAGTATTATTTTAACGATTGTATGACATACCTTCAAATGACTAAAAACCTGTTGCTTACTTCAGCCCGTGACTAAAACGCCATAAAGTAAGAACTTGTTAATTTTATGTGGGAGTGTATACACCGAGTACGCGTTTAAGTGGGACGATTAAAATATTATCGGTAAATTATTAGTGGGTAAACTTATAGTAAACTGTAATTTAAAAACATAGTTTATTTTTATTGTTTTATTGAGAGGTCATTGACCCAAAGCCACCACTGACTATACTCACTATTGTTAAATTTTTATAGAAATAACATTTATTTTAATAAAAATATATTTTTAAAATAAAGTAATTAATAATACTTAATAATTGTACTTTATTATTAATAATATTTATCAATATTAATAATTATTATTAATATTGATTTTGGCATCTTCAAAACACATTTTGTAATTCCTTCAAAGACTTTTTAAGATATTTTGCCCCTTTGAAGCACTTTTTTCTGATTTTGTGTTTTTTGAAAGCACTTTTTAATTATTTTGGATTTCTTTAAATCACAACTCCCTCTATAAATTAATTATTTATTATAATCAATGATCATTAATCATTTTTAAATTGTTTAAAATAAAGTTTATAGTAACAAACAAATATTCAAATACTTTTTTCTGACAGGAAATTTTGAACAAAGCGTATTAGGAGGTCAAAAGTCCAAATAGTTAATGTACATCAAGTTCCATTGTCACAAATTCCAACAGTGTAGAGAATATCATGTTCCAGAGGGGATTTACATTAACGTTAATTATTTTTTTTTATTTGTTAGAAAGTTGCTTACTTACCGACAAAGCATATTACTTATGAAAATAGTATTAATTGTTGTGAGGATTTGTTAGTTTAAACTAATTTTATAAAAGAAAATGTTGCAATACCTTTACTTTTGTACTGGACTTTATTTGGTTAAATTTATACAATAAATATTATAAAAAAAAATTATAGGTAAACAAGAATAAGTTTAACCTTCTTAAATTAGGGTAGGTTTTAAATAAATATCTACATATATATTAAATTGTTTCATTTATTTTGTTTAGGTTCCTTTGCTTTAATATACGTTCTCCAATAAAATTCTCCAAACAGACATAACATGAAAAAATTTTGTGGCACGAATAAAAATGGAATAAATTTTGGATAGTTGCAACTGCTTGTGACCAAAAAACTTGAGTAGTATATAATGAAGAACAAAAATTGTACCTAAAAAATAAATAAGTGTATTTTTATTGACAGTTTAAAAAACATTGAAAAATATAAGTTTTTTTAATGATTTAGGGTATATACAGGGTGTCCCATAAATCGCGCCACAGAGAAAAAGGAAACGTGCTGAAAGTTCTGCGAAAAACATGCTTGAAAATTAAAATTATCTAACGCAAAGGATAAGCGAGATAAGAATAAAAACGATAGCCAAGCCCAATACATGGCCATAGAATAGTATATTCTGTAACAAGTTTGGAATACAGCATATTCCGCTCGAGTGAAGAGTTTGTCACACGAGCCGAAGGCGAGTTTGACGGTTTCACGAGAGCGGAATATGCAATTCCAAACGTGTTTCAGACTATACTTTTTCTACGTTTCCAAAAAATACCATAGAAAAATAATTAAATTGGAAGAAAGTGAGGTTGGTTACATATTAAAAACAGAGATGTAGCCACGAGTGTTTATTCTGTCATCCGATGATAGAATATTTCATTCTGTAACACTTTACGGAATATATGTCATTCCATAGATAAAAGTGATATTAGAACGGTCAAATTCCGTATAAGGAGTAGAAAAAATTCTTTAAATTGCTAGGATACTTAGGATGCATTGTTGATATTATAATATGTAAATTATTTGGTCGACTGGAATCCACTTCATTGACACTGCTGTCAATTTTTGTTTCTGTCATTATTTATCATTTTAAGTTAGGTTTTCCTCCTCTGATTATGCCAAAATGATGATTATTTATGGGGGTTATAGCAATGCTAGGAAGGCAGCACGAGTTTTTTCCCAGCGCTTTTCCGATGTAAAGTTGTTCTGCGTTGTAACGAAATTTAAGGTGCTGTTTGACGTATTAGAACAGCGGAAAATAAAGAAGATATTTTTAATTTCTTTGATGCAAATAGTAGGAAGGGCATAAGGAAAGTTGCAGGCGAACTTACCGTTTACAGTTCAGCACCTGCAGCCGGAAGAAAATCCCGCTAGAGTGGAATTCTGTAGTGGTTGCTAGCGATTTTGGCTCTGGAGTACAGAACTACAGTGTATTTTTTGAATGTGTGTGATTGCGTCATCAATAGGGTCGTATGAATTAAACCGAAACCACAGAATACACACCCACACAGAAGCGAAAGCTTTGGCGGCACTTTTGATGTTTCGTTTGCAATTTTCCGTGACCTTCACACTACTTGGCTCCAGTGCCGGCTCGGTTTTTAAGAAATTTATTTATTTTACCAGTGGCGGTTCTTTTTTTAGGAAGTATTTTTTATTTTGAAATATCCAACACTGGTAATAAAACAAACTGCACAATTTTCAAAACTAAACAAAACTAATTAAAACACTCAAAATATTCTATAGATAACCGAACACTGCAGTAAATTGGTAAAGAGAATCAACATAAAAGTGAGGTTGACATTGTCAACTTGACAATAATACTACTTAAAACATGGCTGCCACGCGCAAGCGTATTAAAAGTTGGTTTTGGCGGGAAGCTTAACCTTCGCTTCTGTGTGGGTGTGTATTCTGTGACGAAACTAAATTTAGAGTCAGTAGCGTATCATAAACAATAATTCTGCAATTGGAAGTTGTTTTTTGTCCATTGCCAAACTATTCCCACCGAGCATTTGGATTCTCGGATGAAGGTCAGAGACATGCGCTGTAGTGCAATAGCGGTTATATTTTCATATTGCGCATGCGATTTTACTATTGCACAAGTCTTTGACCTTAAAGTAGAAACAAGTCTAACATAGCTTACCTCTTGGACACAGTTTAGTGGGAGCAGGGGACCCCCATGCTCCAGTTCCCTTAGAAAATATTGAACAAAATTAATAGTAAAACGTTTTTGATTATCGTCCAAACTTTTGCAAGACATTTTTTCAAACCTGTCAAACTTCCAAAATCTGTTCTTTATTGTCAAATTACTGTATGAACGCCACTAAGTAACCTTCAAATTTTGATAAATTTCGGTTCAATGCCACAGCAAACTATACGCGCTCTGTCCTTTTTTAGCACAAGGCACGTGAGCTCGACATCGGATTGACGTTTGTCGTAAATTACGTTTAATTGTGTCGCCATCTGCTGGTTTAGCGGATCCCGATACGTTTTAGAATTACAGATGGACTTTTACAAAGAAAAAAAAAGACAGCTACACATTTTAATGTCTTTGTTTGGTTCAGCAATTGATGACGCAATCACACACATTCAAAAAATACACTGTATAGTTGCTTAATTTTTACTTTAAAACATTGGCGTCCTGAAGTATGACATTCCTTTTTGAAAGGTTAGTAAACAGTCGGCCAAAATTTTTTAAAAGTTTTAAGGCAACAATGTTCTATCGTTTAACCTAGACGAAAGCTCCTGGTATTGGCTGCCGCTTTTTTGCTCTCATTTGATTTCGCTATTACCTATAAATTTTTCATTATAAATTTGGCATCTCCATTTCTATCAGCACCCTCCCTTTTTCTCTGTGGCGCGAGTTATGGGACACCCTGAATATATGTACATTTAAAAGGCTCTTTTAATAAGAAACTAAAATCACGTCCTTAGGAAACAGTTTGTAAATGGTTTCTGATACTATTGTGACATTTGATTAGCTCCAACTAAGAAGATTATATTCAGGAGCTTCAATTTCGCCTATGACAATAAATAAACGCGTCGCTTGGCAGCGGGATAAAGGAGGGGAGGTGTACAATACACACAAATGATTATTAATCAACCGCGCATAGACCGTCAACTCACGTGACTGACTGCACGTGCACGCATTGGTTGAAAGATTGACAACATTAATAAAGAAAGTTGATTGATAAGCACTTTTGGTTTTAATTAAATTCAAATTCAAAATTAATATTTAAGAACATCACTATGGGATGTGTGCTCTCGAGCGTAGGTAATACTATACTTTATTAACTCCAATAATAAACAAAATTTGACATCTGTCAATTTTAAATGTTATTATAGTCGCCTTCTCTCAATATAAAACCCGATTGGTTCAAATCACAGTGAATATTGAAATCGTCCACTGATGCCAAACAACGTAAATAATGACTTTATTATTCCTGTTGTTAGGCAGGGACCCAATTTTATGCAAAAACCCGCACATCAGTTGAAATACCATCAGTAAGTTTATGATGAAACATTACAGTGTAATGATTAATTCAAAGAACTTGCAGCCGACTGATTTTACATTGCAAAATTTAGTAATTTTATACGTGAAAATGCATTACTGATGAATTAATATCAGTACAGTTTACGCTTTCTGCTCAGACAGTAGGTAATACTGATTAGTTCATAAATTTACTCACTGTTTTAACAAACTGTTCTGTTTACTACTATAGTAACTATTGTAGTATATAGTAACTGTTGTAGTATAAGAAGATTTTATTATAATAATAGTATATTCTGTAACAAGTTTGGAATACAGCATATTCCGCTCGAGTGAAGAGTTTGTCACACGAGCCGAATGCGAGTTTGACGGTTTCACGAGAGCGGAATATGCAATTCCAAACGTGTTTCAGACTATACTTTTTCTACGTTTCCAAAAAATACCATAGAAAAATAATTTAATTGGAAGAAAGTGAGGTTGGATCGGTCTAAAATTTGTTAGATATTAAAAACAGAGATGTCACCACGAGTGTTTATTCTGTCATCAGATGATAGAATATTTAATTCTGTAACACTTTACGGAATATACGTCATTCCATAGATAAAAGTGATATTAGAAGGGTCAAATTCCGTAATAGGAGTAGAAAAAAATATTATAATATAATTATAGGTATTATAATCTTCTTATTTACGAATTTGATAAAGGTAAACATTGGTTTAACACGTTTGACGCTTGACAGATGCACAAAATATTAAAAGTTAAAAAATACTTTTTGTATCTCTGCAAGGTATAGGAGGGGAGACGCGCAGAACTCAATTTTGCATTCTAGGTCATCGTTCACGTGCGACATTTTTATGGACCCTCCTTCTCGAATTTATTTGGAGTTGAAGCTCCTGAATATAATCTTCTTACTTTAACTCTTGGTTTGATAAAGCTATTATAAAGTAGAGTTACCAACAAAATTCAATAAAAAATACTTACCAACTGTATTTGGGTGATGTGTTTTTTCCACCAAACGCTCTTTTTGTAGTCACTATCATAGGCGGTAAGTAAATAATAACTATACATAACGCAATGTACGAAACCATTGACAGCTCCTATAATGACTGTTGCGCCTCCACCAAAAAATTTCATCGCCACCCACGACCCTAGACACATTCCAAAGTGATGATAGACGTGTAAAAAACTGACTTGGTTGAATTTTTTTCGTAGAATGAAAAATACCTAAAATGATATGGTTATTTTTGTGTTTGAATGTTGGTATTTATTGGTTACTGTATCAAGAAGATCTGAGAGTTTCATGATGAAGAAAATGTATACTATATCTAGCATGTGAATAGCATCTGGATCGTTTGAGTAGTCTATATCTCCACAATAGAATCCCATCTTCGGTATATACCTAATTACCTAAAAAAATATTTGGTGTATTTTTAGGGAAAAATTATTAATTCTGTTACCTCAATAACAACATAAGCATTCACTAAAACTTGTATTAAATTAAATACTATAAGGATATATTTTAAATCAAATGCTTTCCTATTTTCCATTAACTTTGGTCCTAGTTTTTTGCAAAAGTATACATAAAAAAATGCTATTGGTATAATATTAAACACACTACTTAACAGGAAATATTCATTGGCTCTTGGATCTAAAACAAATAACAAATGCATGTAGGTTTAAAGTGAATTAGTACCTATATGCAAAGATAATACACCCCATAGATTGGAAACTCTCCCATCACTGCCCTCTAGAGCTACAATACCTAAACTATATCTATTTGTAAATTGCAGACATCTGTACAAACGCTATTTGCGAATGTCAATGTCAATCATAATTATTGATGTCGATCATAATTTTTGAATTATTAAATACATTTTTGCGCCTTAAAAGTGATAAAAGGTGTTAATGGTTGTGAAATGTATTGTTGTTGGGCGCGGAAATGTAACTAATTTGTAAGTATTGACTATCCTGCCATCCTAAGCTAAAAAGACTCATCTCGTTATTATTAAATTATTATCTTAGAAAAAAGGCGCATTTTAACTAAAGTACAAATGTGGAGTTGCGTCTTTTTGGCTAAGCACGGCAGTATCGCTCTAGCGTAAAAATACTGTTTATTAATTATGAATTATTTAGGATTGCTTGTTTAATGGTAATTTAGTCCAGGCCAAGCCCAGGCTACTTATGGTTGTTTCAAAACCAATAGTTGGCAAGATGGATTTTTCAAGGTTGGTTAGAACTTGCCAAAAGTCCACACTCAAAAGCCTTGTACAAATTCCTATATTTATATGTATAAGTAGCCTGGACTAAATTACCAAATTTTGCAATATTCTCTTATTATTGAAGAATTAAGACTAATATTTTTTAGGTTTGCCCTCCACAAACAAAAACATTCATGTATACCGATTATCTATTTAATATGTAGGTACATATAGATGTATGTATTTTATTTTATATTATATTATTAATGCAATAAATAAATCTTGGATTCATACTTGTTTTATTTTAAATACAGCAGTAAATACAATATATAAAGGCACCCTACGAAGCATCAACATTCAAATATGGCGCCAATATATGAATATCTACTTCAATTTTTGGCATTACTAAGGGTATTGTAGACCTAGATGGCGTTAATTTACTTTAGCCTTTTGCCGTTAGCGCTAGTGCAGTTTCCAATCTATGGGGTGTATTATCTTTGCCTATATGTACATTATATGTAATATACAGGATGTCATTTTGCCATACCTCATTGGATAGGTCTTGAAAATTACTATTTTTGAAAAATAATTTTTATAATTATTTATTTAAATTTCCCGGTATAAATATCAAATTAAACCATTTTGATGTCGCAAAAACATTGGTAAAAAAATTGGAGAATACAAAATAATAACCAAAAGTATAATAATTGTTGAACAATAATTAAAACAATTTCATTTTTAGCTTTTTAAATGAGGTTCATTCGAAAACTCCGCTCATCCACTTTTTAATAAAAATGAGCCATTTAAAGTTCATTTACAAATTGACTGTCGTTCTTTTTCTTCTTCTTCGTAAAACGGATTTACGGTTAAACCTACCGCCCTTTTGGTCCTAAACAATCCTTATTAACCAGATACAAGTATTAACATCCAATGATTCCAGAAGAACCAAAAACCATTGGACAACGGTTGTCTAACAAACACGTGGACACAAATAGGTTATGTAACCTTTAAAATTATTACTAGCTTTATTTAAATTCCTTTTATCCCTTGTAAAAGGACTAATCGAGGAATATTCTCGAGCACCATGAATATTTCTATTCCGGGAATACCATTTCCCCCCCCCCCAGATGCAGAAGTCACTTATATTTCACCACTTTTTTATAGAGCAACCACATTCTACGAGTTTCAAAATGTTGTTCCAAAACTTTCCTTATTTATTGGTTATATTATTCAGAATTTGGCTTATACGTATGTAATTTTAAATTATTTTTAATTGGTGCTATACCTTTTTAATCAAGGTATATAAATGTTTTACTTATGCCTATATATTTTGTTTAAAGTATTCTGTTGGCCTGATATGCGTTAGTACTTACGTGTAAGGTTTTTTACATTTTGCTCAAAAACACCTAATATGGATAAGCCGAGTTTTGGAATGCACCTCCTCAAATTAAAAGCAGAAAATATCTCCCATGAGTCTATTATTTTGAAATTTTTATTTTGAAATATTTATTATTATTGAACAATTTAAATCCTTAATGAAATGTGTATGTTTTTAGTGGATTTTTTTAATCAGATTTATAAAAACTTCTATAAAAGACTGCTATGCTAATTAGTTTTAATATTTTAAATAGTATTGATTCTTTTCCAAAATGGTTTACACAACGGCTAAACGTGTTAAAATCATTTTTATTTGTGGTGCACAAAATCATTGTGCACCCTGGAAAAAATGTGGGTCACAAATTTGTTCAAGAGCTAATTGCAAAATTTAAACCAACGGGGTCTGTTTGCAATCGAAACGGATATCAACCTAGGTTACTCAATGAAGCCACCCATATTGAGGTTTTTGGTCAGTTTGGAGTAGATCCCACAATATCAATCCGTTTGGTATCTGGAGTCTGTTAGGAAGGTGTTAAAACATCACAAATTCCACCCATTCAAAAACAATAACTTGGCGATGATAATGCAGACATAATGTTTTGTAAAATCATGACCAATAAAATAACAAATTAGATCCAAATACTAAAAAACATTTGCTTCAGCGATAAGTGTACTTTTTATATAAATATATATGGAATTGTTAACAAACAAATTTGTCGTTATTGGAGCAATAAAAATTCTCATCTCCTCAGAGAAAATCATACCCTGTATCCTGAAAAACTTAATGTGTAGGCAGGAATTTTAGGAGAATGAATAAATTTATTTTGAAATGTTACATGAAATAATAGAGCCACTAAAAATAAATGAACTAAAAAATCAAAGAGGAAAGGATGATGAACTAGCTTTGGATGAACATTTATTACATTTTCAACAAGATGGGATACAACCTCATTATGTAGTAGCTGTTAGGACTTGGCAGGATCGGAATTATCCTGAACAGTGAATTAGTACAAGAGGCCCAATATAATGGCCTCCCAGATCTCCAGATCTGACACCATTACACTTTTTATTTTGGGGTTACTTAAAATCTGTGGTCCACAAAACTGTGAAATTGGAGAATATTCTGTACTATTGCTTACAAAATAATGAGAGTCATTCAGAGCATTTAATTTAAAAAGCTAAAAATTAAAGTGTTGATTATTGTTGAACAATTTGTTTATTTATCCTTTTTTTACGACAACAAAATTTGATATTTAATGGTTTAATTTGATATTTAGGTATAACAAGAAATTAAAATAAATATTTATAAAAATTATCGTATTTTTTTTTGGTACTGTTAAATAGCTTTCCAATGAGGTATCACAAATAAATTTCCAGGAAAACTAATATAAAGCAATGTTTGGTTTTGACAGGTTTTTAGTTTTTTTTAATTATTTTGGGAACCGCTGTTTTTTTAGTTTTTTAATTTTATTTTATTAGGCTCTTCAATTAAAAAAACAATAACATATCTTTGCACCCTGTAAAATAATTAATATTTTACAATTTTTTAAGCAAAACAATGTAGAGCATATATAAGTAGCAATAATTATTGCCACCCTTGGACTCCAAGGCTTGGAGCTGTAATAAAATTTAAACATACATTTAATATTTTTTATTCAAGCTCAATTAAATTTAATAATAAAACCCTTACTGATGATAAATTCTGTTAAATATATGGCAATTTTAACTTATTTGCAAGCAAATAAATGTTAAACAAACAATGGTCATAAAATAAATTAAACCTTTAAAACACACTTTTTATAAAAATAAATCTTACCTGCGATATCCTCAAACAACCAAAAATATCCTTTGTACATTTTTTTTAACAAAAGGGCCATTTTAACTAGCTATCACTATCACTATCACTATTTTGGTTAATCTTGAAATTGAATGTATAGGGGTAAAGTAAAAAGAACCTTCCCAAATCCAAAATGTATTCAGTGCATTTGAATATAATAGAACTAACCGTAAATTGTGGCTTGGTAATATGCAAAATTAAAAATACGTTCGTATTTCTAATTAGAAATAGAAGCATGCCTTAAAGGTTAGCAACCTCTTAATATTAAAAGAAAACATTATTAGTTCCCAAAAAAAATATTATCTTATATTATTATATTATTTGAGCTATTTCACTAGATATTAAATATTTTTGCTTTTGGTAAGTACTTAATATTTTAATAAACCTTTTTCAAATCATGTTATTATCATATGTTCGTAAAACTTGTTCAAAACTTTAGTTTTACATTAAATCATATTGATTTAATAAACCTTATGTTATTTTTTATATTTTAACGACTACATAGTACATTTTATCTCACTATCATTTTAAAATGCGATTCAATTGTAACTTTGCTTTCAGGACCTTATTTATTACAATTTTAAGCACTTATCGTGTTTCGAGAAAAGTCTATAGAAATTAAGTACCAAGATCATTTAATTTTACGATCTTTTTTATCTACGTCCACGTAAGTACAGTTTTATATGTATTAAATATGCCAAATTTTGGTAAAAAAACAATAACAATTGGCCAGTTATACAGGGTGAATCGGAAAACTCTAGGACTGCATTCTACACATCAAAATAATAAAAAAAACTCAACTGTTCTTATCCGATTCTTATTTGTTTTAAGTTATAGCGTAATTTAAAAAAATAAATTTTAAAAAATAAATTATTATCTAATGTAATTGGCCAGTTATACAGGGTGAATCGGAAAACTCTAGGACTGCATTCTACACATCAAAATAATAAAAAAAACTCAACTGTTCTTATCCGATTCTTATTTGTTTTAAGTTATAGCGTAATTTAAAAAAAATAAATTTTAAAAAATAAATTATTATCTAATGTTCTTTGAAAAACTATGGAAACAAAGATTTTGTTTCCATAGTTACATATACATATTGTTTACATTTAAAAGGCCTAACTGTCAGCGTCAGTGGTATTTTTGTAATTTTCCGTTAAAATTTTTTTAAAATGACAAAAGTTTATTCAAATTTAGAGTATGCTAATATGGTTTTTGTTTATGGCTTTTGTAATGGCAATGCCACAGCTGCTGTAGAAGAATATAGGTGACGTTTTCCACGTGAAAGGGCTCCTGACAAAAACGTGTTTATTCGAGTTTTTAACAAACTTTGCGAGACTGGAACTCTTCCAAGTGCTAAAATAACATCTGAAAAAGCTAATCGACAAACTTTAGAAGAAGTTGAAAATATTTTGGATCTAGTGGAAGAAGATGCCACGACCAGCACCAGAAGAATCGCAACTCAATTGGACATTTCAGAAAAACGGGTAATAGACACACTTCACGAGGCTTATACCCATACCATTTACAAAAAGTACAGTTTCTACACCCGGAAGATTATGCTAAACGTGTAGAATTTTGTCGGTGGGTAACTAACAATCGTAGAGTTGTATCGCGTATACTTTTTACTGATGAAGCAACATAAATGTAAATTTACCCGTGACGGCATTAATAATACGCACAACTCTCACGTATGGTCTGACGAAAATCCCCATGCTATAGACGAAACCAATTTTCAACACAGGTTTTCAGTAAATGTGTGGTGGACTAAGATTGCTGGGTATTTAATTGGACCTTTTATCATGGAGAATCGCCTCACAGGAAAACACTACCTTAATTTTTTATTAAATGAGTTTCCAGGATTACTAGAGAATGTCCCTTTAAACGTAAGAAGGCGAATATACTATCAGCATGATGGAGCCCCTTCACATTTCGCTCGTGAGGTCAAGCAACACTTGGATGAAATGTTTCCAGAGCGTTGGATTGGTCGCGGAGGTCCAATTAGTTGACCTCCAAGAAGTCCAGATCTAACACCACTAGATTTTTGTTTATGGGGTTGGTTTAAAACAGAAATTTACAAAGTTAAAGTAAATAATCGAGAGGCACTAAATCAACGAATAATTAATACTGGCGCAGTTCTTAAAGAAAAACAAGAGTTAATAGGACAAGCAACAGGCGCTGTTCGCAGACGTAGCAGAGCATGTTTAGAATTCAATGGGTTTATTTTTGAACACCTTATAAAAAGTCATAACTATTAAACAAATGTTACCGTTTCATTTTATTTATTTTTTAATTACGCTATAACTTCAAAACAAATGAGAATCGAATAAGAACATTTGAGTTTTTTTTAATTATTTTAATGTGTAGAATGCAGTCCTAGAGTTCGGTGCGATCCTTCCGATTCACCCTGTAGAATAACTTTCAAACCTTTGGTGAAATCTTTTTTTTAACATGGTTATAAAAATGGACCAAGACAAAGCATTTGAATTATGTCATTTTTATTTCAAACACCATTTGTTTTTTTTTAATATTTGCACATAAAAAAACTTTATATAATTATAATTATAATTATGTATATAATATAGTATATTATACTTGACAAAAAAATGTCATAAATTATAATGAAAAAATTCTACAAGTTCTACAAATTAAGAACATAAGGGGGCCACGGTGGCGCAGTGGGTTAGGCGACTATGCCGAGACAAACTGCGTCCGAAGGTAGCGGGTTCGATTCCCGGTCACAGCCTTGGGTGTTGTGCGCGTTGAAAGTCGGTAGATGAGTCTAACTCATCGGGGAACGTGGTTCGGATTCCACGTTAAACAGTAGGTCCCGCTGAAGAACCGAACCTTATAGGCTTTGCCTATATGCTGGATAGGTTGATGGCGTTACTACTCTACTACTACTTTTAAGAACATAAGTAATGTCCTTAAAGGGTTGAAAGTAAATGGAAATGATTAAAGTGACTTTGTTTGTGAAGCATATGGGAAGCAGTGCAGGTTTTCATTTCATAAATCGTTGCGAGGAAAAATACAGCCAGGTGACCTAGTGTATAGTGACGTATGCGGACTGATAAGACAAATATCTATTCAAGAAATAAGATACTTTGTATTGAACATTCAATTTTCTTAGTTCCTTCAAAAAACTTTCTTGACCCATTACTGGTAATATTCATAAGAAAGAATTGAACCTACACCTCGCCAAAGTTTTTTGTTTTAAGTGCGTTCCACCAACTTCAAATACCGACAGACAGCTGTTTCGACCTATATTGGGTCTCATCAGTGTCGGGCAACTTGGTATAGAGGAACACACCCAAAACAAAGGACTGCTGCTTTTATACTCTGTTGGCTTACGCATGTGAAGGTATTCAGTTATATTTTTTTTCTTGTATTATGAATTTTCAATATTGTATTTTATTTAAACAATAAATGTTATTGTTTTTGTGGTGCTTCGACTACTGCGATCATTGGCACCATAACTGGAGAGCAGGGCTAAAAAACCTCTCCTGACTAGATTTAACGAATGAGACTAATATAATACTACACCACAAAACATAAACTGGTAAGAACAATAAAATAAAATGACAGAATAAGATGAAACTTTGTTTTACAGATGTTACCTTAAATTTTATTTAAATATCCAATTTCACTAAGAAAGGTGAGACCTTTCTCAATATGAATTAAATTTTATTCAAGCATTTCTTTTAGTTGGACATTGACTATACTATGTTTTACTCTTTTCTTATGTAAAGAGGGGGCATAAAACAATAATGTGTTTCACCGAGTACTTTACTACAGCCTTCACATGAGATAATATTTGGTAAGATTGGTGTGACCCAACTTTGTTATAACCACTTGTTGCTTACGTCTCAACGTAGATGTTTTGCATCCACTTACCACGTAATATTATTTTAAAAAGTCTTATTTTCTGCCCATTCCCACTCCATTTTACTTGATTAATTAATCTTTAATATTTTTTGTATCGAGTCTTCTAATTTTAGGCGTTGAATACCTTCCAAACATTCAACAGTCCAGGGTGGAATATTATTATTATTATTTTTTATTTTAGTTTCGTCGACTGCTTAGGTCATTGGCACCAATCTTCTAAGAGAAAAATCATCATGGACACCCGAACAAAAAACGTTGCATGGATAGTGTCGGACTCCTACCGGCTAAAAACCTCTCAGACAGTGAACAATACAAACAAGGAACGGTAAGTATAAATAAATAACGGTACAAATAAATAAATGAAATATATCGTATGTACAAAAAAATAGATTTCCTCAAGGTAATTTACATCGTTTAGGTAGGTGAGAACTTTTGTTGAATTTTCAGTGTCATAATTGAATAAAAAATTTAGTTACAGGTGAGCTATACTATGTAGTACTCATTGGTTATGAAAAGTGGGACATTCTAGCAGGAGATGCTTGACTGAGAGGGTTTCTCCACAGTCATCGCATTCAGGTCTCCGCCATCTAGGATGTAAGATTTAGTGGCCTTGGTATGACCCAATTTTAATCTGGTGATAATCATCTGTTCTCTCCTACTAAGACCAGCAACCCTAACATCCTAAATTGACTCAGAAAGGTATCTTTTTCAGACCACTCCTCTGCTAGCTTTGTTAAAACAGAATTTTTAATATCTTCGAAAATCCGCAGTTTTTCAAGTTCCATAATATTGTCTTTATATTCTTGCATCCTCGGTGGATTGATTGGAATATATGAACCTTACTCAACTGTCATATTAATGAGTAGCCCCTCGGCTTGAAGAAAGGCCTTTGTAAGCAGGATTTTCTTGTCAATATAATTGAGAGCTATAATCCCTGCCGCTATATGCAGGAGTAGTCAGAAATGCCCCCAGAACTAAACGGACCCTTGTGTTATGAATAACATCTAGGGGTATTTGGAACCATTTGCAAAATGCTTTATATTACAAGAAAAGTCTGGATATTTGCATACCATATAATTTAACACTGCACAAATTAAAGTAACCAACCAAATTTTAAAAATTAAAAACGACATTTTTTCCAGTCAATTTTAAAACACCGTATAGCCCTAACCTAACTTTGAATATTTTTTTACTTTTTTAAATTTTAAAGTTTATAAACGAGTTAACTCGTATAGTATGCAACTAGTTGCATACTATACTTTTATAACTTATTATTTTTAAAAAATAATTTAAATTAACATCTATACAAAAATATAGTAACTTTAAAAATGGTAATCTGTATTACCGGCGGCAAATGTCAAATTTTTCTGAATCACTTGAAAATGGACTAACAACCGTTTAAATCTGTTATAGTCACAGTCAAAGTAAAGGTAAAGTTTAAGCACTTCAAGGTAAAGTCTTTACCTGAAATGTTTAATGCTTTATCCGTAATATCTAGTTTACAGCCGGCCACAGTCTTATATAAGGCCGTGCGAAATCAAAACTTATTAAATATTGGAGTTAAGAAACTAATTAATACTTTTTAATTTTTGTATTTTAAAAGATAATACAGTAATTTTCAAATTAAGTATTAGTAGTATTGGAAGAGCAATTTATTATAAAAATTATATGACATTTGACAACTCGGTACCTTAGAATAACAAGGTTCTGTGCAGCTGAACTGTTCAGCGAAAATGACTTATCTACAATATTAAACATTCGGGTAAGCCATTTTTCCTTATTATGGCAACTGCACTTAGAACCCTCTCATTTTAAGGTACTGTCAACTAACTTAAAGCTAACTTCAGCCCGTTTATAAAACCCTGTTGCTAACTTTAGGGCGTTTTAAAGGTGGGAGTAGAAAAAATATTATAAAATAAACTCTTAGTAAATTTAAGCTTAATTGCTTTATTAATATATTGTTTTTTTGTTAAAAATAAATAGTAATATAAAAATAGTATCTAATACTTATATTAGTAATGCTTAATTTAAAAAATAAACATAAAAAAGGACAAACATTATATTACACTACAAGGGCCGAAATATTTCAACGTGTGGTGTTTACTATTTTTCTTCATACATCGGTCGAAAGTACTTACTTTTGTCCCTAATAGCAGGGACGAAAGTTTACCTCTGTCGAAAGTACGCACTTTCGCCCCTAATAGCACAGGGAGTAAATGTTAAACTTTCGTCCCTGCTATTAGAGACGAAAGTACGTACTTTCGAACAAGGTATGGAGAATTGCAATACGATACATGGCAAAAGTGGCATAAAATGTTAAAAATAAAAAAGGGGGAGGGGAATTTTTTTTTCTTAATTTTATAAACGAAGGTATATTATATATATATATATATATATATATTTTTAAATATATCTTTTTTATTTTATAAAAAATTTATTAATAAAAAATATATTGATAGAAAATCAAATTTATATTATTTAAAATAATAATACAAATGTATTTGTTATTTTTAGGCTAAAACTTAAGGATTAACGATTACGATCAAAATATAATTTAGGTAAGTGTAGTGGCACAGAATTTCAAAAATAAAAAAGGGGGATCGAGGGGGTCTGTTTTCTTCTTAATTATATAGACGAAGGGTATGGTTTTATATGATATAAGAAAGAAACCGGCACTTGTGGACATTTTTCTACATACATAATTAGTAGGGGTGGGATATTTAGGTACTAAAAACTGAAAAATAGGTAACTAAAAAGGTACTAAAAAAAAGCATTTTAGGTTAAAAAATCAGCATTTTAGGTAAAAAAAAACATTAAAAGTTTAAGTTTCGTTTATAATTTTGTATAGCCGCATACCCAAACACAGAACATACCCACAATAAACTATTTCTATGCAATAAACTGTGTTTTACTGAGTGACACTCACTACACAGAAGTTCTATGACAGAACATAAGCTCACTAGTAGTGAGTCACTACAAAGAAGGTAACTGTAAAGAAAGTTACTGTTGCAGTCTGTAACCATAAGAAAAAATTCTATACCGTTGAGTTGCACGCCCTGGATAAAATATTGGCGCAAATTTTAAAAAGAACAAAAAAAAATAAAATAAGTAAAAATACGTAAAAATAGGTAACAAATATATGAAAATAAACTGACAAATTAAAAAATATGTAACAAAAGTATAAAAAGGTAGTTTAAAGCAAAAAAGGTGAAAAACAGTTTAAAAAAATAGGTAACAAAAGTATAAAAAAGGTAGTTAAAAGCAAAAACCTCCAAAAAAGGTAAAAAAGGTGAAAACAAGTTAGGTTCATATAAAAGAAAATCTTTTAAAACACATTTTGGCATTATTGGTTTTCAAATAGTTACATCGGTTAAAAAAAGGTAAAATAACTAAAATCCCATCCCTAATAATTAGATATATAGACTTATGAGTGTTACGTATAATATGAAAATTATTATACGCCAGAAAATATACAATTGTGGTCTACACGAAATTATAAAAATATTAAAAAGGAATTTTTTCAATTTATTGCAATTCAAATTTGTTTTATGTTTAGCATAAAATTATAGTTTTATTGTTCACGTGTAATGGAAACAATATTTTATTGAAAAAAATTGATAAATATAAAATATTTTAAATTTTAATTTAAATAGGTATAAAAGGTATAAAATTTAATCAACTAGGATTTTTATTTTGTTTTATTTAAAAAATATACAATATCCATAAAAATAATATTTTTTATGAAAAAACTATTAAATAACAAGAAATGGGTATGTTTTAGTTATTTTTTTCTCTATTGGCACCCTTAATATAAGTCCTATAATAAAATTCACCGAACAGAGCCACCATAAAGCAACATTGCGGAACGAAAAAGAATGAAGCAAACTTAGGATATGAACAGTCAGTAAATAATAAGAAGCCATATATCAAAATTAAAAGAGTATGTTGAATCTAAAAAAAATATGAATTAATTTTAATTTTTAAACCAGATTTTTTTGGATATTGTCTACATGAGATCTAAAATAAGAAACCTGCTTTTAGATTTCATTAAAACCAATGAAACTCTTAAGGATATTATTGTTGAGTGAACAATAATATTATGTTATTTTTCTTACTCCACATCACATTTAAAGGGCATTTCGTACTAAAAGGGCTCAATCCTTGGATAATCTTAAGGAAAACAAATCATATCAACTATATGCAACCTATTTATTTTGGAGATATAGGGAGTTCAAAATTAAAAATCTTTTACTGGAAATAGATCAGTGGGTATTTTTAGATTAAATTACTGTAACTCGACACAAAATTTTTTTGTGCTCTACCGCATAGCGACATAAATGCTTTTAATGTTTTTATTAAAAAAAAAGTTAGGAGGTCAGTTTTACTAAAGAATAATTCGCAAATATAATATCAATACAATAAATTTTAAAAAGCAGTGGCGTGTCATTTTTTTGTTAAAAATGTACAAGGGCATTTCAGTGAGGAAGCCACTGGTATAAGTGGAAAAAATATTTGTATGCTAATTTCTATCTAATAAAATATTTTTAAAATGTATAAAGGTGTTTTAGAAATTTTTTATTTGTTTTTTTTTAACACTTTATCTTAAGATATAACGTTTTATGTTTCAAACTTTATTTTATTAATCCAATTAAGCAGAGTTTTGGCCTTTTGGCCCCTTTTTGGAAAAAATCAAATTTAATTTAAAAGTAAAATATAATTTAAAATTTAAGCAAAAACTCAATTATGACACAAAAAAGTAAATTACATTTAAGTTTTTCACAAAAAGATAAGTCGAATCTCTAAAGTTAATATTTTAAAAGATATACGTATATTATGTATAAAGTTTCATAAAAGCCATTTTAGACACATATTTAATTAAATGAGTGTCTATAAAAGTTTATAAACGAGTTGCATACTATACTTCTTCTACTTATTTTGAACTAAAAATGAATTTGAATGAATTTGTATACAACTTGGAAAATGTCAAATTTGTATGTGTAAATCTAAATGTATCCCTTGAAAATGAACCGTTTAATCCGATATAGGAGCAGTTTTTCACAGTAAAAGTAAAGAAAATGTTTTATTGGCACTCCAAGATGGAGTCTCCACCAGAAATTAAGTTAAATCTAGTTTACTATCGGCGAAATTAAAAGGTCAGTACAATGTTTATATAAACTTTTCAAATATTGGCGTTAAGAAACTATTTAATACTTTTGTATTTTTGTTTTGAGATAATAAAATTATTTTTACATTTAGTGTTATTACAACAAAAGGGGCGCTTTATTTTAACGATTGTTGACAACTGTCAACTAACTTAAAACTAACTTTAGCTCGTCAATGTTTATTTAAGAGGTCACTTAGTGTCACGAAAACATGTACCATAAAGGGCGTTTTAAAGGTGGGAGTAGAAAAATTATTTTTTCTACTCCCACCTTTAAAACGCCCTCTATCGTACATGTTTCCTTGACACTAAGTGACCTTTTAAATACACATTGACAAGTTGTGGCTTTATGGCGCTTTAGTCACGGGCTGAAGTTAGCAACAGGTTTTTAGTCACGGGCTGAAGTTAGTTTTAAGATAGTTTACAGTTGTCAAATGTCATACAATCGATAAAATAAAGTTCCTTTCTTGTAAAATAATACTAAATGTGAAAATTATTTTATTATCTCAATACAAAAATACAAAAGTATTAACTGGTTTCTCAACGCCAATATTTGAAAAGTTTATATGAACATTGTAGTGACCTTTTAATTTCGCCGGCAGTAAACTATAACTTAAATTCGGGCACGGACTCCACTGTAAAGTGGTCATAAAATATTTTCTTTACTTTCACTTTGAAAAACTGTCAATTTTCAAGAAATGCATTTCGATTTATAACCTTTATACTCTGTTTATAAAATGTAAAAATTTGACATTTGACGGTGACATACAGATTCCCCTATTGTTTCATATATGGCGCTCTATACAAATTTTTGATTTAAATCATTTTAAGATAATAATAAGTATTTGTCGTATACTATACTTTATCTATAGATAAAGTATAGTATACTATATATATTCACCTCGTTTATAAACTTGATACATAATATACTATTATATTTAAATAATATTTATAAATGTTTTTTCAAACATTTTATTTGTTAGGTATCAAAAATAATTCAAATTTATTATGGTAGATAAATAAAATATTGCGTGCGACTATTGTTCAAAAGATGAGATTCGCGTGTTACCAAACTCCACGCTCAACTACTAATCAACCACTAATCGCTTAATATGGTATAGTTTTTTATCTAAAGACAACCGTTTATAAGTTTACAGCAAAAAACCATAGGAAATCAAACATTGAATCAATAAGATACTTTAATGTAGAGCTGAGTTTTATTCAATAAAACAAAAAAAGCACGAAAATTTAATCGACGTTGTTCAGTTATTTTATAAAAAAGGGGTTAAGGACCTAACTGTTATTTTTAAAATCATCCAAGGATTGAGTACATTTAGTTTCAAACTAATATCCAAAAATCAGTTTCTAACACTTACCAATTGGATTTGGGTAATTGTTTTCTTGAAAGAAATATTTTTGTATTTGTCATCCAACGCAGATAAGAAGTAATAAGTGTACATACAAGTATGAACAAAGGAGTTAATTAACCCCAAAAATATACTATGGCCGCCTCCAAGGAATTTAACTCCAATCCATGTAATATTGATCATTCCAAAATGGTGGTAGATGTGTAAAAATGACACGTGACTGTCTTTTTTACGAAGAATGAAGAAAATCTAAAATTAAATTTGTTATTGTTAAATTTGTTAATTTGTTATTGAGGTTTTTTTGTAAGTAATACTTACTGTGTCTAATGTGTCTAATATTTTCGTGAGGAAGTAAAAATATGCAATTTTAAGAACGAATAAATGCCTCGGCTCGGTGGAATAATTTATGGGCGAGCAATATAAACTTAAATTAAGTGATTCAAAAAATGCCTACAAAAAATTGTTACATCAAAATAACCAAAAAATTATAACATTTAATACGTACATGATATGTTATATATCCATTAAAACATACTTGGAGACCATTGTATAGCAAAATAGCTGATTTTAAATTGTATGGAGGACGGTTATGCATAAATTTCTTCAGGTAATCTATTAAATACAAATAACCCAAAGATATAAACAACATTTGAAATATTCCATAGGAATATGCCATTAAATAATATTCATCAGCTCTAGGGTCTAAAAAATTTAAAATAAACATAAATATATAAACTATCTTACTTTCACTTACCAGCATATTCTTTGAAAACCTTAAAGTACCATTGGTACATTTTTTTCAGTAAAAGAACCATGGTTGTGGATTTTTTTTGTTGACTAAATCGTATCAAGTAAACTTTAAAAACAATAATGTAAATTTTTTATAAAATATTCATTGAATGACTTGCTAATATATTCAACAGAATTAAAATATTGTGGCACCATGGCATATATTTTGGCTTATTGCCGCCAAATTAGGAAATGTGTTAAAAAGTCTAATTGATTTAAAAAACTAATGTTTTTTTATTTTTTTATAAAATTGTTTATTTTATTGAAATAAGGTACCTAAGTAAAATTATAATTTGTTGAGTTACCTTTGTTAATAAAATATTATTGAAAAAAATCACCAAATTTTTAAAATATCATTTATTTTTGTTTTAATTTCAAGGATACAGTGTCATGCCCTTTTAAAAAATTTCAAAACATTACTATATATACTCCATTGTATTTAAATTAATTAAACCCAAAAGAATATATTAAAAATTGTTTTTTAGGTTTAAGTTAATATAATACACATAACTATACCTTCCTCACCAACACCTATATTGTGACATTTTCCAGTGCATGTGTAAATGATCAGCTTGATATTTTCATATAAAGTATTTTTACATTTTCTATATTGAGAAAGTGACTCAGTCTTAAACTGTGAAAAAAACTGATCTCTTCTCCACTGTAACTGTACAATGAGAGGACGAGATTTTAACTTTATCCAGGGTAATAATTGACACTAATATTTGTTATTGAATATGTGGTTATGGTAAATACACACGATTGTACTAAATTCTTTAATAAAATTAGCAAAAGTATAATGTTCATTTCTTAAAAAATGGTCATTTCCATTCAGATGAACTCGAGCCTTTTGATTTTAAGGTTATGTTCGTGCAAAAATAACTTTTTAAAATTTCTTCAAAATGTCCAAACTTAAATATAAATTATATTAGGTAAGGTTATCATTCGTTAATTCTGCACCAACAAATGTAATTACCGAATTGGATCCTTTGGCAAAACATGAAAATGCAATGATTTAGTTCTTGAATTTTATTTACAATCAAAAACACAATAATTCACCATGTCGGCGTTTTATTAGGGGAATCAAATATAAAAATGTTTGATGTTAAGGTAATGTTTGTACAACTGTTATTTTTTGTTAGATTTCTTAAAAATGTCAAAACTTAAATATATCATTAGTTAATTCTGCACCAACAAATATACCTACGTACCAAATTGGATTTTTACTCTTTAAAAATGAATTAGTCAAAAACGAATAATTTAATAGTTATTAGTGGCTGGTTTTTCACTTGTACCATGGTTAACCATGGGATACCATGGTATCCCAAAATTCAACAGCCTAATTCTAATGTTAAATTGTCCCCTGAATCCAAAAGTTTAAAAAGTAGAACAGTTTTAAAGATATAGTCAATTTTTCATTAAATATGGAACTATTAAATTAGTAATTTTTCACTATTTTTTTTTTTGCCTATAGGCAAATCATGAAAATACAACGATTTAGTCCTTGAATAACATTTACAATTAAAAACACAATAATTATAACCAATGTAACGATATAAGCATATAATGATACACTGTTTAAAATATCTGTGGTGTAAAGAGTAATCTTAAAATGGTGTCAAAATCCAACACCAAGTGGTGTTAATATAAAAACCATGAATTATGGTTAAAAATGTTATATACAGCAAACACAAAAACCGTGTTTATCTAAAAATATTTGAGAAGTGCACCTACACAGAAAAAAGGAATAGTTCATTTAACTATATTAATTTAGTATACTATAGTATTTATTTAAATCAACTGCGGGAAGGTTAATATAAACAAAGATTAGTTTGACGGTACTAAACCAGATAGTTATTAATGGTTAAATTAACCCAGAAAACTTTAGTGAAACTAACCCGCTGAATGGTTCAGTTTACTAAATATGTTTTTTGTAAAATAAGAGTTACTTCAACCTAAAGCACTCTGTTAAAACGATTAAAACAATTTGCCGTGCATTCCTGGTTGCAAAGTGAGTACCGATCGCGGCAAAGGCGGTGTGGATCACGTGATGTTCTTATATCTCGCCTCTGTTGACTTACATGAAGAGTATTTAAGCTCAGGTAGTCCTTTGCTTTGGTGTGACAATACAAGTTGTTCGATACTAAAGAGACCTTAAATAGGTGGAAACAGCTGTCAATACTTGAAGTATTTTAAGTTGGTGAAAAACATTATCTAGCGAGTTGAAGGTTCAATTTTCTGGAATAATACCACTGGTAATGTACTTGTAATGCGTCAAGGAACTTCCTGTTTCCTTTTTTTTTCTTTTTTTCTGTGTAGTATGATTTAATTTGACCAAAAACACATACTATTTAACACTGAAAAGGAGTTCAATTTACACCAAGTAAAATTTATTTTAATACTGTGTGAAAGCTAAATTTACACTATTTTAGTATTTAAATTTACACTGGACCAACGAACCATATTTAACACCATTTTGGTTTGTATCGATATAGACTATGTATGGAGTTAATTTGGTGTTAAAATGGTCATGAAATTTTAAACAGTGTATAAGAAATAATAAATCTAAATCGAGTACTTCACCAAAGTTTTGCATTTTTTACTTGAAACGTGAAAAATTTGTCTTCCACTCTTTTGTAAAAAACTACTTATTTATTTAAAAATGATGTGCAGTTCGTATGTATGTATTGTCGACAAGCCTTGTAGTTTAATAATGCTATCGAGCGCCACCAGATGGCGCACGCGTTGCATAAACCCGATACTTGCAAAGCGTAAAAGGCAAAATTAAAAAAAAAGATTTTGCCTTTTATAACCCAGACTTTTGATAATAAACCTAATATTTTACATAAATATATAAAAACAGTTTATTATTTAATATTTTTAATCACTTTATTTATTTATTGATTTATACATATAAAGTTATTTATGGCATAGAAATACGTAAATCAAAATTTTTTGATATATAAGTTTGATTTAGGACCCAAAAATATTTTAAAATTTGTTAATGATTTGTTTTTTTATTGTAATTATTATTATAGTATTTTAATAAAAAATGACTCTAAAGGTACAATGCAATATTTTTTATTTATACCATTTTTAATAAAACTGCAAAAAAAACCGTTTTTTTCGACTTGCAAACATTAAAATTCTTATAAATTTATTTTGTTGTAATGAAGCTATAGGTCCTGAATAAACTAAAAGAAATAAATTATAAATATACATATATTTATAGTTAATCCTGTTCTTATTGTTCAACGCAATCAAAAAAAAAATTGTCAAAATGGCCCTCTTAACAATTGCGCGAGTCAAAATTTATATTTACGGTCATTTCTGCTCCTGGCGCTTGTACGACTCCCTAAATAAAATCTGTGAGTAGTGATGAATTGAAATATATATTTATAAGATTTTAAAATCAAAAGAAACAATAACAGATTAAAAAAATGTCAATCATGATTTTTTTTTTTGAAGAAATGTTAGATCATTAACCATGTTTCCTGATTTCCTGCAAAATGTTCTGATTACAGGCTGTAACTTACAGCACTTTCATTTTAAAAATTGTCCAATTTTGGCTAAAAAATAATCTAATTTTGTTTAAAACATAATTTTTAAAAGAAAAAACTTTATGGATGATTATAATTTGTTTTAGTTTAATTAGAAACCATAGCTATATTACCAGTGATCCCCGCGGAGATAAAGTATTTATATAAAATTTATATTTTTATTTACAATATAAACACCTCCATTAACTAATTTGCATAACAATTAAGGGCAGTTGAGGAAAAATGAGAACACATTACGTTAATTTAAAGAGTGCAGACATATTTTAACTTAAAAAAAAAATATTTACAATTATCTGATGTCCTGGGTATTCTGATTAAATTTTTTACTTTCACGTAATTAAGGTACTTAATACTTTGTATCATCAGTAAAAACAAGAACTTTCATAAAATCTCATTAAATACATTCTGCACACTTCAGATAAACAAACAAGTATTTATTTGTCTCGTATTGTTGTAATCAAATTCTATTCTACAATATGAATAATAATAAATACTGTGCATATGGGTGGGTCAAGTCATCCTAGATAAAAAACATCCAGGATTTATGAATAGAAAGCGTTGTTAAATCTAAGCATCTAAAACAATGAAAAGTTAAAAGTTAAAATACAATATATAGTAAATATACAAACCCTCATTGTGATTTACTTATTTAACATTTACAGGTTTTTGTTTTATGTAACATTTATAGTAAAAATCTCCAAAAAGAACTAGCATGAAGAAATTCTGTGGCACAAAAAAGTATGAAACTATTTTTGGGTAGGAACAGTCTATGAACATTAATCTTCCAAATATAAAGATGAAAATGCAGAATTGGATCTAAAAAATAAAATATTAAAATCACCAATAAAAATGCATATCCTCTAAAAAAGTATTAACACAAAGAATTAAATAGGTAGTTGTTAAAATCTACATTTTTTATCAAAACATTTTTTCTTTTTAAGTATCATAATAAAACGCGTTTGCGTGCAAGAATATTACTTCCTAGCACGGATTTTTTTCACAAATTCGGAAACCCTATAATATCGTGTTATTAAATAGCAATATGAATTATAATTTAAAAATATTCTTAAAATATTGGCAAATAGAAAAAATACTACTATCATAATAATAGAATGTCGTCTTATGACTTATTATGCTTTATTGTACTATTTTATTATTTATCAAATATTTATTAAATGTAGCTTACATCGCGTCATCAAAGACCAGATTCAAAGATTGCAATAGGAAACATGGACATTGCTTGGATGATATTTTGGCATGTAAAAAAATGGTAAAAGTTAAAAAATACAGTTTTTTATAAAAACATAAGGTCTTCATTTTTTGCAAATGTATCAACCTGTACGAGGTGTGTTCAGAAAATAACGGGAATTGTTAAATTTCGCGGGTTCGGAGGGTCCGGTTGTCATAAAATTTTCTTTATTATGTTGGTATACATGCCCCCGAAGTATGATAAAAACTTTAGCTGTTTTCATTCTTTATTTTGTCTCTGGCATCCGCTAAGGTTAGACGTGTTTTATGAGCTCGGCGATTTTTCGTAAAAGAATTTTTATTCAATTTTGTTAAAAAATTAAATAAATTTTGTGAAATGTTAACTAAGGCCTATAGTAAGTCTGCTATAAGTAAAACAAGAGTTTACAGTGGTATAAGAGTTTCCAAGATGGCCGTAAACACGTTGAAGAAGACGAACGCCCCGAACGCACAAGCACATTAACAACCGATAAAAACATAGAAAAAGTGGAAGAAATGGTTATAAACCATCAGAGAAGTCGCTAATGATGTTGGTATATCGATTGGCTCATCCCATGAAATTTTTTCGAATGTTTTGGGTATGAAACGCGTGGCAGCAAAATTTGTTCCAAAATTGTTAAATTTTGAACAAAATTTTTGGCCAAAAACAATACTGTAATGATGTCCCAGCCTCCATATTCGCCAGACATGCCTCTGTCTGACTTTTTCCTATTCCTAAAAATAAAGAGAACCTTAAAGGGCCGTCGTTTTGCAAGCATAGATGACATGAAAAGCGCATCGCTAATAGAACTAAAGGCTATTCCAAAGATCGAGTTTTAGAAGTATTTTGAGTATTGGAAAAAGAGCTGGCACATATGCATAATATCCAATGGGGACTATTTTGAAGGCGGCAACATCAATGTAGACGAATAAATAAATATTTGTTTAAATAACGAAAATTCCCGACATTTTCTGAACACACCTCGTATTACTGCACCGCTAGTCATTTAGTTTCTTACCAGCTGTAGTTGTGTTATATTTTTTTTCAGTAAAACGCTCTTTTTGTAAACGGGGTCATAGGCTGTCAGCAAGTAATAGCCATACATAACAGTGTGAACAAAACAATTTATCAAACCAATAACTGCTCCCTGACCACCTGGTATAAATTTAACTGCCACCCAAACCATACTGGTCATTCCGATGTGATGATATACATGTAAGAACGAAACTTGCCTGTAGTTTTTCTTTAGAACGAAGAAAACCTTAAAAATAAAATAAATTAAAACAATGAATCTTTTTAATTTGAAGCAAATTTTGTTTTCAGTGGTCAACTCCATAACCGCCTTTCTCTTAAATTGCTAGTTTTGATAAATAGTTTTCGGGTGATTTTTTTATTTAACCTTCTATATGCTCATGTAGTTTTCTTAAATAATACTCACGGTATCCAATAGATCCAAAACTTTTAATAGGTAGTATACATATGTCAAATGTAATTCATAATATCCTTGTGGTGATCTGGACCAATCAATTGGCTGGCAAACCCAATTCATTTTTAAATATAAAGGTATACCCTAAAATAAAAAATAAAAATACTTATATTAATCAAATATTATCAAAACAAAACACAAAGTGCTAAAGTACTTTTCGCCAACGATGTTGGCATGTTTAGAAGCAAATCTACCATATTTATACTAATTATAAGCTAAGGTTGACTGAACCGTGAACGGACACAGTTTACTAAACCGTGGACCGTAATCGATTCAGTAAACACGTAAAGAGAAACTAACAAACAAATTTATACAAACTAGAGTTGGGTACCGGTCCGTTATCGCTATTTAAATATTTATTTCTATTCTTATAGATGTAAAAACTTTTATAGCTAAGTAGCAGACTTGGTTCCCTAACTTCCTTAAGTTTAAGGTTGCCGTATCCCATTTTATGATGGTGATAGTATATGTTCGGCAACACTTGATTTCTCTGTCCTACCAAATCTAGCATGAGCCAAGTGCTTTTTGAACCTTACTTGAATAGATCGTTTAGATTGTCCAACATATTTTTTTGGGAACCAAGTCTGCTAGATAGTTATAAAATTTACATTTACTTTTTCATATTCTTCAAAATTACTGAAATTTAAAATACAAATACAAAATGTCCAAAATGTTTGCAATTTATTTTGCTGTAATACCACTACCGCGTATCGGAGAAAGGTTTTAAGTTTAGGAGAGCATGAAGTCGCAGATGTTACGTCATTTTTTAAAGTGGATGTGCGTAAGTAAGAGAGAGATGGAAATAAATTATTTCAATGGGCGGTCGCCGTAAGATTTATTCCCTATTTTTTCGTAAACATGGACCAAATGAAAGTGTTTGACGATTAGAAAACGATAAGGTAAGTAAAAAATTTTAAATTTTTAAAACTCTTAAAATTATTAAACTTCCTAAAATTTCATATTTTTAAAAATTTAAACATTTCCAAATTTTTTTTATATTTGCAAAAATAACAAACAGTAACTAGTGAGTAACTCGTCAGTAAACATAAAAAAATCTAACATAGTACCAAAAACAGCGCTGTCATTGAATGCATTAAAATTGAAGCAATCTAAATTGTTATATGCTCAATTAATTACTATTAAATCAAAATAGGGAAATATTTTGCCTAAATGTCAAAGAATTTATTGCGTTAAATGTATAGGGGCAAACGAAACACCTCAATGGCAATACTGGACCTTTTGGAAGATATAATTGGGGCTTTTGAGGACAAAAAATAGACAATGGTAGTGTTTTGTGACCTTTCAAAGGCTTTAGATTGCGTACCCCACGACCTTCTTATTAAAAAACTAAAAATGTATAACTTCAGTAACTCTGCTACAAACTTAATACAATCTTATTTAAATAATAGATACCAGCGTGTAAAAATAAATGGAATAATGTCAAGTAAAGAAAGAATTATACATGGCGTACCCCAAGGGTCTATCCTAGGTCCACTATTATTCCTAATATTTTGCAACGATTTGCCACAATTTAATAATTTAGCCAAACATATTCTATTTGCAGATGATACTACTTTAACAGTCCATGATAAAAATTTAAATATGGCAATGGAAAGGTCGAGGGGGGCGCGATCGAGGGCACAGGAATGGTTTACAGGTAATAAATTAACTCTTAATAATGAAAAAACAGTCTCCATTTTGTTCTCCCTTATGAGGAGCAGTGATGATGTCAATCATGGCCTTCAGGATTTTTCAAAATTTTTGGGTGTCTATTATTGACAAAACACTAAAATTTGATAAACATATTGATGCTCTCTCAGTTAAACTGTCAAAAAACATATTTCTGCTCAGAAGCCTATCAAACTGTTTGTCCTTCGATATACTTAAAAATGTTTATTTCTCATTGTATCATACTCAATTCTTGTGTGGGGACAGGCAGGGGAATGGCAACGAATTTTTAAATTACAACGAAGAGCTATAAGGGTAATATGTGGCCTAAACTACAGAGATGATTGCAAAACAAAATTTATAGAACATAAAAAATTAACTTTTCCAAGCTTATACATTTACGAAATCTTAAAATATACAAAACTAAACTACCTATTGGTATTATAGTAACTGTTATTCAGGAATACGGATTACAAGATCCCATTGGTTTAATGGCTTACCCATTCATGCTATGATAGCGTTTTTTCTGTGTAGGTAAATAATCAGTAACTAGAATTTTTCTTTATAAATTTTTGAACAAAAATAATGAAATATGTAAATCAATAACAACACAACCAGGTTGGATCATTAAGTGCTCTAAAACTTAATTTCTATTATCCTTTCAGAAGTTACTTTACTTTAATAGTGAGCTTGTAAAGGTGAGGCACACATATTTTTTTTGTATTTTGTAAATTTAACCAGCGAAATGTAATTCGTTTTTTAAAGTTTTAAGTTTAATACAAAGGTTATTTTAGGAAACAAACTTTTGTTGAAGTCAGACTTTTATACTTCGAATCTGGTCAGTATTTTATGAAATTTAAACCCAAACTTTTTTCGTCCGCGAGAAATCTTTAGTCAAAATTTATGATTAAATCAAATTTTTACCAAAACCAAACTAACAATCTCTTGAAGAGGAGGATTCCTTCTGGATATTGAACAAATTTAATAAAACTGCGTATTTTTACTATTTGGTTGGGGTTTTCGAAATAAAACCTTCGTGAAGCAATTTTGAGGTCTAATTCAGATATACCACCTTAAAAATTGAAAATTAAACTGGCCTATGAATAAACTATTTTTATAATAAATTTACTTACTACAACTAAAACTAAGTATCCATTTGCAATAACTTGAGACAAATTAAACACTATCAGTATATTTTTCAGGTCGTAAGGTTCACGCTTTTCCATAAATTTTGGACCCCAATCATATATGAACTTATAATAAAGTACCAAAAGTATTATGGTAGGAAATGGTGATGACATCAAAGGCAAATGCTCAGTTCTTGGATCTAAAAATTGAAGATAAACATGAAAAGAATATTAGATTTATACATATTGAAAATCCTATTTTTTAAATTCTATAGTTTAAGAGTTCAGAGCTTGTTTATGTTAGATATATTTTTACTTAAATCAATTTAACAATAAAACATTAATATTTGGTGTGAGAATGATCATATTATTTTTACACCTACTTTCTTGTATTAAATATGCTTAATATTTACCTGCAAGTTCTTCAAATATATGAAAATAAAGCTCGTAAGCTTTCTTAAGTAACAACGCCATTTTCACTGACTATTTTAATGATACTTTAAAGTCAAATGCTGAACTTTAACGTTAAAAATACACGTATTCAATTCAATAATAGTAGAACCGAAGGTCATAAACGTTTGGAATAAAAAATGGGCTACTATTGTCTTCTAACAATGATTGAAATTGGTGTCAAAAAATCCAATTTTGATTTTTAATTAAACGATTTAACATAAAATTTAAATAATTTTGATTGATACGGAAGTTGGGCATTAATATTTAAAACAAATTTTTACGGTAATCCAGTTTTACCAAATTTACAAGAATTTTAGTTCCAGCAACATTTTTTAAATCCTTAAAATTGCAAAGCATTTCTTGTGGTTTTCATGTACTGATTAAGTGATAATCCAGTAACAGTTAATGGTCATCACACTTAATTGAAATTAAAAACAGACCAAATAAGAGAGGCATAGACAAATTAGGATGAAGAGAATTTGGTTTAAATTATAAGGTAAATTTAAAAAAATGTTAATGTAAAGGACAGTTTTAAAAAAAGTAACAGCAAAATATTGTTTAATATATTAATTACAATAGTCAAATATAGACCAGATCGAGAAAGCGTATATTATAGCCGAGTATACATATCAGATGTTTAAGTAAGGTTAGGTGACATTTTGACTTTTGAACTAGTGTTAATATAAAGTCCTATTATACAGACTTCAAAATTTTACGCTTATTTTTTTTTTATTTTGATCGAATATTATTTTAATAGTTTGGAATTAAACGGTACATTAACAAGAATATTAACACTTAAGATTCAAATATATTATATTATATTATATTATATTATATGCGGTATCGAACATATTGCATTGCGTTGCGTTGTTTTTTCTGCAAGGATTTCTAGTCTAGTATGTACTTTACTGGTATACAAAGGCTTTTAAACCCTAAAATAAATACGTAAATCTAAATCAGTTTACCGTGTAATACTTATTTGTTTTACAAGTGTTGAAAAGCGAATTTTTCATGCGAGTTGCTCACGAGGCCGTCAGGCCGAGTGTGCATTAACACGAGCTTGAAGAAAGCTTTTTTCACAAGTGAAACACAATGTTTTTTCTACGACCCTTTTATTTTTTATTATATTCAAATTCAAAACAAAATAACCTAAAAACGTGTTTGACAGCTGTTAAAATTCTTTTAATTTTTAAGGTATAAGTTACAGTTGTATTCATTAAAAAAGCGTACAAGAATTAGAATGAGAGAAAACTGTCAACATTATTGCGTAAAACCGGCTTTCCACTGACTTAAGTCACTATAACTGACAGTAGAAAATAAAAATGCCTCGTCAGTTAAAAAGGCTCAAATAGTATCAAGAATCGAAGAAGAATGATCAATTCGTACTGTGGTATAATAGAAATAAAAAATCTATATTAAAAATTAAGCAACGCTGGGAACAGGAAGATTTACTAAACTAAAAAGTTGGTTCAGGTCGTCCCAAAATGTCCACCCCTGAACAGGATGCTGCTTTTTCTGAGGATTTATGGGAAACTATACAAATATTGTATTAAATTTAATTCAGTTAATCCCAAATAGATTTGCTCAAGTAATAGAAAAACAGGGATGCATATCTAAATATTAAATATTTTTTAATGTTTGTTTTTTTCATTTCTAAAAGGTAATAATTTTTGTAATATTATTTAATTAACCGACGTCAATGCTCTTTATAACCTATAGTAATTATTTTAATGACTTATGTCAGTGATAAGCCGGTTTTAAGCAATAATATTATTTTGACAGTTTTCTCTCATTCTAATTCTTGTACGCTTTTTTATTGAATACAACTGTACTTAAAATCAATAAACTTCAATTTAAATAAAGGCACTAAAAATTAGAATTAATATTCAAACACTATTAATTGTGTTGTAAATGATGATACGATACAAATTTTGAAACGAATGTCAAACGATGCTGTCAATTTCTTTTCACTTTTCACACAGAAATGTCTCACGAATGTAGTTTTGCATTGCCAATGAAAAGATTTATTTTCTAAGCAACGATGCCAATACGAAATGTGACTTTTACATAGTGGTCGTAGAAAAAATATTTACATCCAGAAAGGGAAGCAGTTGGGTGTTTTTTAACAGAAGTTGTCATTTTAGAAATATAAAGTATTCAAATTAACAAATCATTATTATACACAGCGCCGGATTTAGGGGGGGTCTTTGGGGGTCTATAGACCCGGGGCGCAAGCTTACAGGGGGCGCAAAATTTTTGACTGGTAATTTTTGTTTTTTACTACAACCTAAAGGGTTTTCCCCTTTTTTTATTTTTTGTGTATTAATCAGTTTTAATAAAAAAAATATTTAAATTATAACCGCGATTGTTGCCATAGTATTATTATCTCTGCAGTATACGAAATATGTCATGTCACGTATTACGTAGGGCGCCCGACAAGTTGTTGGGCGACAAGAACTTTAGTTTGCAGAAATTGATTATTTCCACCGATGCGATGCGTATGGGCGTAAAGGTTTTTTAATATAAGAATATTTTATTACACTACGAACAACTATTAATTTAAATTAGTTTAAACCTATAGTTATATACAGTACCAGTCATATATATATATATATATATATATATATACAGGGTGTTTCATAATATATGCGCAGGACTTCAGGATGTGATAGCTCATCCAAAAAGATAAAAAAGTCGCTATTAACTTACCCTCTAAAATGCACAATTTTCGAGATACAGGGTGTTGAAATTTTAGAAAAAAAATCGTTTTTTTAGATTATCTCTGGAACCGTTAATCGTACAAAAAACAGCTTTTGTAAGCATTTTCTACTCATAATAAGCTATGTTTTGTGCCAGAAAAAAATTTTTTTTACTCATAATTGGTGGAGATTTTGAAGGGGTAGCGGGTGTATTTCTCCTCAACTTCAACGCCCCTGAAAAAAGTACGGTTTTGAGAGGCCCATTCGAACCGCCAATGTTTTCTACCGAAAAAAGGTACTCTTGGTCATAAGCTCTAAAGATGACCGTTTTCGAGAAAAATCAACTTTTATGTTTAAAAACATGGTAAATTTTTTGAAAAAAAATTTTTATTACTAATTAAACAAAATTTATTTTAACGTTAAAAAAAGTAACAAAACCAAACGATAATTGCAAAATTAAAAAAAAAATAAAAAATGATTTTTTACTCAAATGCTGAAATGTGCGAAATGCGTTACCTTTACGGTTTGGAGAATTAAGCAAAGACAACTTTTAAATCATTTTTTATTTTGCAATTATGGTTTGGTTTTGTTACTTGTCCTAACGTTAAAATGAATTTTGTTTAATTAGTAAAAAAAACATATATTTTTTTTAAATTGACCATGTTTTTAAACATAAAAGTTGATTTTTCTCGAAAACGGTCAACTTTAGAGCTTATGACCAAGAGTACCTTTTTTGTGTAGAAAACATTGGCGGTTCGAATGGGCCTCTCAAAACCATACTTTTTTTAGGGGCGTAGAAGTTGAGGAGAAAAACACCCGCTACCCCTTCAAAATCTCCACCAATTATGAGGAAAAAAAAATTTTTTCTAGCACAAAACATAGCTTATTTTGAGTAGAAAATGCTTACAAAAGCTGTTTTTTGTACGATAAACGGTTCCGGAGATATTCGAAAAAAACGAATTTTTTTCTAAAATTTCAACACCCTGTATCTCGAAAATTGTGCATTTTAGAGCGTAACTTAATAGCGACTTTTTTCATCTTTTTGGATGAGCTATCACATCCTGAAGTCCTGCGCATATATTATGAAACACCCTGTATATATATATATATATATATATATATATATATATATATATGTATATATACAGTATAGGTATTAGCCTATTGAAAGATGACGTCAATATTGCGATAAACAAATTTGCTTCTCTAAAAGCACGCAAAGTTGAGTTGGCAAAATGTTAATTTTCTTATTTAGGTATTTGTTTTTTATATAGTTTTTGTTTATGTTTTTAGGGTGGCAATATTTTTTCGACATTTTTTTTTATTTCGGAGCTCACATGAAACAATTTAAGTTAAAAGTATTCAAGTTTCAACTCAAAAAAAAATAAACGTCGCTCAAAAAAATCAACTAAATTGGAAAAATAGTAGTGGTTACAAGAACAAAATTATTTAAAAAATCAAGAAATGTATTTCAAAAATATTGAGCGACCAATAATATTTTGACTTAAAAATGTATTATGTTCCTATACGACCTACAAAAAAATAGTGAGAAGCCAAAGATTTTGAGAAAAAAAGTTGGTTTAAAAAAGTTTTGAGCGACGTCTAAAATTTTTTTATCTGTTGAAACTCAAATACATTAGACTTATTTTTTTATTTGATCTCCAAAATCAAAAAAATTTCGAAAAAATACTACAACCCTAATGTTTATGGTTAAATAAAATCCTTTTGTTAAGAAGTGACATTTCTTTGAATTTATTATAAAGGTAGGGGCGGAAAATTTTTATTAGACCCGGGGCGCAAATTTTTATAATCCGGCGCTGATTATACAACAGGTTGTGCGACTAGTGGGAAAAAGGGAAGATTCCTAGAACGTGAAGTCGAATCTCCTATTTCGACACAATATTTTATTCAATACACAATACTTTATTCAACTACAGCAAGAAATATACATAGCAGTGTAAAAACGAATTATGAACAAAAAAAGAATCAAACAATTATGGAGTAAGGAATTTAAAGCCAATTTTATTAAATTAGTCAACGTCGCTCTTTTCCCAGTTTTAATTTAAAGCTAACTTCAGCTCGTAGGCGAAACGCTATATTGCCCACTAGTGTTATTTTTCCTTGTCATCGATACTTACCGGAACCAGATTTACAAATTGTTTTACAATTGAATATAACTTTTTAATTATATTATAAAAAAATAATTATTATAATAGTTGCATTATTATTATTATTAGTTATTATTATTTAAAATTTTTGTTGTTGTAGTAGAGTCTACTTAGAAGACATTTACAAAGTTTTAGAAAGATTGACCGTCTGGTTACCGAGTAAAAATCCG